AAGACGAGAGAGAGGACATAGGGGAGTATTTTGGTGTGACTCTACCTGGCGACGAAGCAACTACGGCCGCCCTCATGCCTAGGCCAGCGAATCTCAGCCCTTCATTTTCCGGCTCGCGACGTGGAAATCGATGTGGGATCTTCGGCGTTTATGATTTATACGTGTGGAAGTTGTCCTCGAGATTTTCTCAAGGAGCTGCTGTCGCGGCTTCCTCGAGGAGACGGACTAGCGTGAGAGCATCGCCGTATACGTGGGCGTTTTTATTGAGCTGCGATCCGTCGAGCTTAACGACAGTCGGAGAGCGAGAGAGATGCGCAATAAAGATGGCTGCTGGATACAATCAGCACGCGTCGAGGCCAATTAAAATGCATACATATGAACTGACCATTAAACCGACTTCCGGACGCACGCTCACGAAAGGGTTGACCAGCCTCGACAATGAGCCGCGGGGCGTCCTACTGCGCGCGCATATCCTCGACGAGTCTAGCAGGACACGCGCGCGATGCATAAATCGTCCGGCAAGAAAGACGGAGAGAAAAAAATCGGCGCGATTTCGGCGAAAAATCCGTAGCGACTGCGGCACGGGACGCGCCGTAATTCAATCCTCGCTTGGCGGACGTATCAAGGGGTTATAAACAAATGTGTTCAAACATATAGGGTATCGCTCCGAGGTAGGGTAGCACGTTTTCCCTCGTGTCAACAGGCCGCCCCGCGCTGCTAATCCCTGCGGCGCGACCGGCTGATGCGGCCTGATGCGGCCTGATGCGGCCTGATGCGGCTCGTCCCGGAGAGCCGTTGAGAATTTAATCCTTCGCTGTCGGCGACTTGTTCGCGCCGAGCGCGGGATCGCCATCGCTGCGCACCGCTCTCCTCGGGCGCCGACGTCCTCGCGCGGCGTCGCTGGCGGCGTAACGAGCGTGGGAGGGAAGCCGCCGACGACAGGTACGCCGGGGAGCGGCCGAAGCGCTCAATGGAGATTAATCGCCGTCGATGGGGCATTGGCTGTGACTGCGATCGACGCCGCGTCGAGCCGGCTCTCGTTCGCGTGAGAATCGCGCCGGACTTCGTTGCGAACGGTCTGCTCGCGAGACGCGTACCGTCCGCAATCTCGGAAGAATGCACGCGGACGCGCTCCCGCACGCCGGCGCAATTAGCGCGCCAGTACGAGCTCATTGTCCCGCAATAACCTCCTCGATAATAGGATTAAGTTTCCTGTTTTTGTGCGCGCAGTTTCTCTCCGCGCAAGAGCCGCGCGGCGACGAAGGGGGCAAGAGATCGGGCGGCGCGCGAGCCGCATTATTGGTACATTATTCGCCGCTGCCGCGCAGCATATGTTTGTGGGGGACTGCTGACTGCTAAACGCTCGGGGGTGGCATCTCTCTCTCTCTCTCTCTCTCTCTCTCTGGCTCCCTTTTTTTCGGCGATGCTCACTTTTGGGGGCGTGCGCGCTTCCGCAACCCGAAGCCACGCGGCCACGCAAAAAAAGGCCGCTTATAGGCTGTTATTTGGCCGTCGGATTTGCATATTTTTTTGCCGCTGCTGTTTGGTGAATTTATGGCTTATCTGGCAGCTATTTAAAGCGACGTTTATAACTCATTTATAACGGCAACGGGAGCGGCAGGCGGCCGTATCTACTGGGCATTTTTATTCATTGCGCGCGGGCCTGTTTTTCCATTAGGCGATCCGGGAAAGCTCTTCGCCCTCTCGCAATAACGATTTGCAACGGCACGAGCAACGCGTGCGGAAAGCGCGTTAATTATTCTCGCTGGGGATCGGTTGACGGGCTCACAAATGGAAATGCAGACAAAAACCGCGCATTTTCCTCGACAAAGGTGAAGGCGAAGTCGAAAAGGGGGGAAAGGGCGCGATCGAGGAGCGGCGCGACAGCGATGGATTTTTAAAGAGCTGCAGTAGCTGAAGCGAGCGATGCAAGCGCGGGCAGGCGCGTGTTTGACAGGTGACGCCAGAAAATTTCCAAGCAAACGCGTCCACCTACGTGCCCGGGGCACGCGACTAGCATTGTATGCAAATCAAAGGAGGAGTGCAGTTGCCGAGAGAGAGAGAGAGAGAGAGCGAGAGGGGGGGGAGGCGTGGGGTAGGGCAGATGTTCCTTTCCTCGTGCCCCTGACTTTTTGGGGACGCAGCGATGCTCTCTAGCCTTTATTGCGTGGACGTGAGCTGGATTTCCAAATGGTTATTGATGAGTATCGCCGAAAGCTGCGCGCGCGTGCGCTCGCGATTCGACACACTCGCTCGAGAGCCTCGCCACAATTGAATTCTCATCCGTAACTGTAAATGATTATTTCGGCAACAGGCCTCGAGGATTTCGCTCTCGAGCGAAAGATTTGACGGTCCGCGGTCTACTGTGTGCAGGATTTTGGCCTCGCTTTGATCCGGCTCTCGAGCGAGATAATCGATCGTTCGATCCCTTGGAACGGCTGCATTTGAAAGCGATTATCGCTGCCACCGCGATTTCGCGGAACGCACTGCAAAAGACACTCGCGGGCACGGTTGCGTCGGACGGTCTTTTTTTGTCGCACGCCAAGAATCGCGCCTCATAAAATTGCATAAAGATCGCCGGAGCTATCGCGAAAGCAACAGTCGGAAAAGTGTCGGGCGCCGGAGCTCGCAGAGAGAGAGAGAGCAAAGTGGGTGGAAAGCAGATAGTGTCAGCGGCAGAGCGAGGGAGGGAGGAAGAGAGGAGGGAAATCGGGTGCGGGGAGTGTACAAAGGACAATAGAGCTCCGTCTCTCCCGCTCTCCGCCCAGCCAACAATCAAATCGCTATCAGTCCGACCCCATTACCCTTTGATCCGCTGCTGCTGCTGCTGCTGCTGCTGCTGCTGCTGCTGCTGCGGCAAACACGCGTACACACGGAGCGAGCTGATTGCCCGAGAGCTCGCTCGCGCCCTGTTTGCACAGGCCCCGACTCTCTCGCGCGGCACTTTTCCCGATTTCCCTCTGGCAAGCCGGCTCCCGCTCGCTGTTTAACCAGACAGCGCGCCGAATTACGTCGCCGTCGTCGCGCGTCGCTTTCTCCTCTGCCGTCCCTGTTCGCACCTGCGGTCGCGGGGACACGTGGTCGGAAGCGCGTCGCCGCGCATAGATACGAGGCTGCCTATCGCGCACGTGCCGAATCGCGCGCGCACGAAGCGAGACGCGCGAGGAGTCGGCGATCGCCGCCCGACTCGCTCGAGCCGCCGATCGTTCGCGGGCTAAAAGGATTAAGCCGGGGCAAACACGAGGATTCCCGTGGGTATCGTTTAACAGCGGCCGCGTAGGGGTTGGCTCTGTCCGTTTGCGCGCGCGTCCCCTCCCGGCCGCCCACCGAGAATCGAGGCTAATTGCGATTTCCGTTTCGCCGAGTTGCGATCTCCTCTAAGCGCGCGCAAGTCCTTCGGCAAATAGCGATCAAACGCTGCGCGCCCGGGAGCTGGGCCGCTTTTATTGCCTCTAACAGCGCCCAATCTCTAAGCCTCGATTAGGATTTTTTTTATTCCCCGCCAATCGTCGAGCCTCGGCCTCCTTCCATTTGTTCCTCCATTATTCCTTCGTTTCGCCTTCAAGCCCTCTCTCGCTTCTGACTCATCCCTTCTCGCTGCTTTCTATTCGGCGTTAATTGCGTGTTTGAGTTTTATTTATCGAATGAGCGACCCAACTCTCAAATACTATTACCGGCTGCCCCGCGTGATGCGTCAATACAGATTCGGATTAGGGAGGCCTGATACGTATCCGTCGGCTTTTTAAAGTTCCATTTGTTTTCTTTCTTTTTTGGTAGGCAGCATCGCTCGCTCGTGGCTGGCACTTTTCTTTTTCAATGGAAACTTTGGTCGCGCGTACGCATTTTTTCCGCGTGAACGACGTTCGAGATGAGCCTACTTTCGCGTCGGCGCGAAGCAACGCCTTGAAAATTAGCAGTCTTCGAAGCCGTCGCAGCAGCGAATCATCTATACATTTCTGATGGAAACTGAAGAGGCACTCGAGCTCTGGAGAGAGTTGGAGCGCGCCGGTATCATCGGAATAAAATTGGCGCGTTGAATCGAGTGCGACAGGCTCGCAACGTCCATGAAAAAGACGTTAAACCTCATTTGAGAGCAGAAAAAGATGGCCGGCGCACTCGACGCGCATAAGTAGAAAATCGTCGACAGACATCGCGCGACGAGCGGCGGTGGCACACGCGTTGCGTGTAACGTGGAGGACGCAACGCGCGCGAGGCAGCGGCGCGTGCTCACCTCGTCGTCGCATTCGCACGATGTACGTTTGTCTCTCTTTCTCTCTATTTCTGTCTTTCTCCGTGTCGCCGACGAGTTCGATCCGAGTGTAACGGGCTGTTGTCTTGCGATTATGCGGGTACTCGGGGCGAGGAGGAGGCGCGGCGGCGGCGGCGGCGGCGGCGGCGGCGACGGCAGCAGCAGCAGCGAGGGGCACTCGCGTCGAGAGCCCGATATTTCCTAATTCCCGCGCGGCGCCGATTCGCTCGGTCGACTTTGAGCGGCAGCCCCCGCGAGTTTGCGCCCCCGTGGGCCCGTGCACCCGAACGCGCTGCCAGACAGAGCCGCCGCGTTTCGTAGGCGCGGTCTCGACGGGCTTGCGCGCGTCGAGCGACGGCGCCTCCGCTCGCCGCTTAAAATTCCGACCGGGCGCGCTCGGCGCGTCCCCCATGGCGAGCAAATCAACAACAATTTCCCAATGACGAGAGCAGCGCGACGAGAGGACAAACAGAGGCCGACAGGAGCGCGAGGGAAAAGCAGAGGGACGAAAAAAGAGCCGGCCGTGCGAGCGCGAGCGGGTGCGCTGCAAGGGTAGGCCACCCCGCGGCGAGCCGAGCGCTCATTGGCCGCGCCACGCCACTCCCCGCAAGGGCGGAGTTGAGCTGGCGCGCGCTCTGCCACCGTGTCGAGCTCACCTCGTCCTGCGCCAGTTGGACGCGCGACTCCGTGTCGCACGCAGCACGCAGCCGCAAGCAGATCGTGCGCGCGCGCGCGACGGACCGACGGCCACCAGTGTTGTTTCGTGCCTGCGCGTGACTCCGCGATATCGGCCGCTCGGCTGCTGGCGGGCGACTCTGCCGATCCGGGGACGTTGTTGAGGATCGCCGACTGCCAGCAAGGACTGTCGACTATGGTTGTGCTGTGAGTATCCGGCTTGTGGCGACGTCCGTTCGTCGGCTCGACGGCGCAACGAGCGGAGCGAACGTCACCTCTCGCATCGCGGTCACTGCCTGCCCGTCTCTTGCGATCCTCGACTGCGCGAGTTGCTTTCAGCCGTGCGGATTCTCGTTTTACACGGCTTTTCGGAACGCTCGATGGCTCAACACCCGATAATCCAGTATGCACGCACGCACGGACGCGCGAGTGCGCGAGCGTACGAAATAAGAAGAAAATTCTCGCTCGTATTCGCGCTGTTTTTCTCAGCTCATTGAAAGCCACTTGAAATATAATTTATAAACTGGATTTTAAGTACGAGCACGCGGCCTTTATCGTTGGCGGTGCGCGGCGCAGGAACGTATATATAAATACATATAAATTAAGACGGATCGGAAAGTAGATTCGATCAAGCGAGGCAATGATTGAAATTGTGGAGCGAGTGCCGGTCCGAAATTGGGTGTGTATATATAAAGTTGGACTGCGCTTGGACGAGGATTGATCAAGGACGAGAAAAACAGTAGTGGCGTATCTAATCAGTGGGCGTGCGGCGTTCCTCATTGGTACGCGGGCGTCTGCGGCGATTGGCCGTTGGTCGGGATTGGATCTTGCCGCTGTGGCGCGCTTACCTCCTAATCGCGCGCGCGCTCTCACTCTCTCTCTCTCTCTCTCTCTCTCTCTCTTTCCCCGTTTCACCTGCGACTCGGCTCGGCGCCATCTTTAATCGGCGACGTGATTTAGGAGAGCACGCGCGTCGTAAATCGCGCCGAGCGATTTATAGGCTCGATGATCGGGCGATTAGGGCAGCGCCTTTATCGATGCAATTGAGAGGTAACATCGGCACGCGAGCGCGATTAGTCATTGTGCGCCGCGAATAATTCATCTCTCGCGGCTTGATCAATTAGCGGTGGCGGCGGCGGCGGCGGCGGCGGCGGCGGCGGCGCTCTGGGAATGAGATATTAAGCCGGAGATAGGCCGTGCGCGCGAGGGAATGTCACGGCGGATAGCGTCCCGCCGAGAGGGGCACGCGTGTTGCCGAACGCGGCCGTAAATCGCCCGCGAGGCCCTTAAATCAGCGCTAATATATGTACTGGCATCGATCTCGCGCCGCGAATTCAATACGCGAGCGCGCGCGCATCAACAATTAAGGGGGCCCGCGAATCGAGGATAACCCGAGGGGACGGATCGGCTGGATAAAGTCGTCGCCTCGGGGTAAGATGATACATCGCGCGCGGCCGATCTAATTGCGCGTCTCGCGTGCGGCTTAGGAAAAGTCGCGACGCGAGAGGCTCGGGTCTCCGTGCCGCCTTCGCCCCGAAAGCCGAGAGTCGGCCACCCACGGCCAGCCATAAGTATAACTGGTGGCCCATAAATTGGGATTTTATCACGATCGCGCGTCGAGTTGCGCAACGCTAAATTAGGACTTTTCTTTCGGCGACTCGCGATTCTCGATACGGCGCGTTTATCATCGAGCCACTTCTCTCCAGCCCTCGCTCGCTCGCTCTCTCTCTCTCTCTCTCTCTCTCTCTCAGGCCGTTTGTCTGCGGCGTCGCGCGTTCCGAAAATCGGCGCGCAGCGTTGCGCAATTACCGAGTTCAAGGGTGAGCAGACAAATGCGGCGCCGTCGCGGCGCTCTGGCCGCTTGTTAATCACGTTGCACGTGCGCGCGAGTCGCCCACCGGGTGTCAATTAGGCGCTGAGTAATCATGCCGCGGTAGGCGTTGCGCGCCGGACAAATTGTCGTCGGGCCGCGGCTGCCCCGGGGCCGGCGAAAATGCCGCGAGACGCGTCTCGCGCCTCGCGCCCGGCCGCTCCGCTTGTTTTCGCGCGCGCGGTAACAATATTAATGCCCGTCGGGCGCGCGCTCGCGCCAATTAGCCGCTGCAAAGGATCGACTCGGCGCGATCTCTCCCGCGCCTATGCCTACATTTGCACGTCCGCGCGCAGCCTATCCGCCGATCGCGGTGCCGCGGCCGCTCGCCTGACCTCCCATTTGTCGCAGGAGTCGCGTTGGGTCGCCGACGATGTCAGCGACTGTCGCCGGAACCCAGCAGCAGCAGTTTCCCCATCAGGAGTGGGACATCAACGACTCCAACATACCAAAGGTGAGTCTCGGGGAACCGGTTCGCGGTCGAGCAGCGCGCGCTAATGGGACGCCGCGCCGATGTCGCAGGTGGTGGACTACGACGCCTGGTGCGAGTGGGCGGACGGCCACGTGCGCAAGGTCTACGCTCCCGACTGCGAGGAGGCCAAGCGACACGCGTCCGGCTGGGCGATGCGCAACACCAACAACCACAACGTCAGCATTCTCAAGAAATCGTGTCTCGGCGTGCTCGAGTGCTCGCTCAAGTGCGTGCTTCCTGGCGGCGGGCGCGTTCATCTGCGACCTGCCATCTGCGATAAGGTAACGAGCCGCGCCGAGGCCCGCTGTTTTTGCGCGTTGCGCGCCGGGCCCCGAACGCCCCGCTGAAGCGTCCACTTGTCGAGACAGGCGCGGAAGAAGCAGCAAGGCAAGCCCTGCCCGAACCGGCAGTGCGCCGGCCGGCTGCAGATCCACGCGTGCCGCGGCCACTGCGGCTACCCGGTCACGCACTTCTGGCGGCACACCGCCCACGCGATATTCTTCCAGGCGAAGGGCACCCACGACCACCCGCGGCCCGAGGCCAAGTCCACGTCGGAGGCGCGGCGCAGCGTCGGCGCGGGCAGGCGCGTGCGCGGCCTGGCCGTGCTGCTCGCCAGGGAGGCCGCCCTCGGCTCCAAGGTTGGTGGTGTCCCGCTGCCCGCCCGAGCCCGCGACCCTAACCCCCCCTCTCCGCCTTGCTCTGTTCTCGGCGCGCAGCTGCTGTCGCTGAGGGCCGCCAAGCGGGCCGGCCCCGAGGGCCTGGAGCTGGGCGCCAGGGCCGCGCAGATGCCGGCGCCCGTCGCCGACAAAGGTGAGCCCCGGCGCGCGCCCGCCGGCCCGGGGCAGCGCTCTCACCCGCTCGGCTGCTTCCTTGCAGGCTACTCGTGCTCGTGCCCGCCGTTCGAGTGCGTGTGCGTCGCGGCGCAGCGCGGCTACCCGCAGCAGGCCGCCTTCCAGGCCTGCCAGCAGCAGCAGCAGCAGCAGCAGCAGGCGCAGATGCAGCCGCTCGACGCGCTCGCGGTGGCCGGCAGCCCGGGCCAGCCCGCGTACGTCCAGCCGGCCCAGCAGACGGCCGGCAGCGAGGCGCCGGCCTACTGGGCGCCGCAGGCCGCCGCCGAGCAGGCCTACGCGTGCCTGCCGCAGGAGGCCTCCTGCTACCCCAGCGCCGACTTCCCCGCCGGCTTCGGCAGCGACCTTTTCCAGCCCGAGGAGATCTTCCAACTGGACCAGCCCATCAGGCCCGACTTCGCGGTCGGCGACGGCGAGCTGCCCGCGCGCTCGCCGCCGAGCCTGCTGGACCTGGGCAGCGGCACCATCAAGTACGAGGTGCCCGAGATGCACGAGTCCAGCGCCTACTGGACGCAGCTGCTCAGCGAGGACTCGAGCAGCAGCCACGTGAGCGCCTCGCAGGTGAGTGCCCGCCGCGGCGCGACCCGGCCGCCGACTCGTGCCCTCCTCACCTCGAGCCTGTGCTCGCAGCAGCAGCACCACCACCACCAACACCACCACCTCCACGAGCCCGACAAGGAGGGCTGCGCGCCCTTCGACCCCTACCAGGCCGGCTGGCCGAGCGTCGACGCCCGGCAGGACTACGCAAGCGGCGGCTACGACTCGGCGGCCAAGGTCGCGCGCGGCGGCGCGGCCTCTAGTCACTCGCCGGTCGCCGAGGCCGCCCCGGCCAGCTTTGGGCCCGGATACGAGGCCGCCGGCTACCAGCAGATGCCGCAGCTGCCCGGCCAGCGCGGCGCCGCCTCGCCCGGCCCGCGCCAGCACGTCGGCCTGGCCGACAGGCTGGGCTACGCCCAGGCGATGCAGCAACCGAGCCCCGAGCCCTACTTCTACCAGAGCGCCGCAGACAGGTGTCACTACGCGTGCGAGGTGCTGGACACGCGGCTGCCGCAGATGCCCGCGAACGGCAATTTGGCCTACGGCGAGGTGGTGGCCGCCGATCTGGACATGCCGCAGTTCGTCGACTACACCCTCGTCGGCATGCTTTGCAGCCCCGAGGAGGAGGAGGAGCAGCAGCAGCAGCAACAGCAGCAGCACCATCACCACCACCACCAGCTCGCCTCGTGTCAACAGCAGCAGCAGCAGCCGCTGCTGCACGGCTTCGTGCCCCATCATTAGACCCGCCTCGACTTAGTCCCAGCGTACTTATCCCGAGACTGCGCGCGCAATTTTTACTGTATAAACTGAACAAATCAAAATGATCGCCCTCATGCTATTGTTGTTGGGAGCACCAAGTTCCTTATCTAAATTCTAATGTTAAGCGTTTATAATTCTTCAATTCTTAGTATATATATATATATATATATATATATATATATATATATATATATATATATATATATATATATATATACTGCTGTTTTCCAGTAATTAAGTCATTGATTGTACATAGTTAAGTATTATTATATGCATTTTAAATGACATTATATGTGTATATATATATATATATATATATTCGACGAGAACGTTAAGTTGTATGGAGTGTTAGCGAGTGTTAAAGAATCTTACAATAAAAATACAACTCCTATCTCGTGTAAAAGTCACTTATTTCTTTATTATTAATGCTCTATTATTATTTTATCATTAATAAAAAAGTGCTTTGACATATACTTTTATCATGTAAAAAATCTGTATGTTATTTCCAAGGAATGACCATCTATGGAGTTTTTCGCGCTTCTTCGTAGATTATCTTTTTTAATCCTCTTCAACGTTTTCACGTTACACGCCTTAATAGTAATTAATAAATTCTCTCTCATACCAACATGAAACAAGTTAAGTTTCGTGGAGGAATGAGAAACGAGATGGAACAAATTTCTTATTATGTCTAACGTTATCTGACAAATCATTGTTTATTGACACTCTGACAATTGATTCCTAACGGTAATTTTAGATTATAAGCATCGTTTATTAATTAATTTACACGACATTTTTGAAATAAACAAAAATCTACTCACAGTGACGATTGTGATCAAGCTTTTTTCGTTCCTTAATGCAAAGATAAAACAAAAATGTGACCAATTGTTTAGTTTGTATTTCTACGTTTCTTATCAATTCCGTAACCTTCGCACGTATCTTGAAATATTTCAATCTACAAATATCTTTAAAAAACTTTGTTAAAATGCAGGAAAAGTTACATGAGTAAACCTGTAAAGTTTTCTAGAAATATTAAAAATAATTAATTAATTGATATGTCGAAGTATCACAGATGTGTGCTTACGATATCTTGTGAAAACCGAAAAAAATTGTATTATCCCTTCCGGTCGTGGTTAACTTATAATTCTCATAGCTTTCTAAGTAACAATTTTGAGATGACAAGTAAAAGTATAATATACCTAGAAATAAAAGGTTGATAGCGTATTCATTACATAATAATTAAATTGCACGTAATTTATTGCGTCAAAATTTAACAGAAAAATGTAATTCGTCGTTTTTTCATACGTGGCGTGGGAAGTTCGATTAATTAACGAACAGTTAATTTTGTTAACACGTTTGGCAGTCTCGGCTTAGCCTCAGATGTATATTTATACGAGCTATGGACTCGCCAATACTTTCTCGGTTTCAGTCTAAATTTTGTCCAGTGGCTCGGTTGGTAACATATTGATTTCGCCGTCACTCGGCCGGGAAATTGACAAGAGCATATAGCACGTGTTTACCAACCTCGGCTATTAATTCTCCATTTCTCACATACTATATGGACTTACCAATACTCTCCCAGCTGAGGTATGTAATCTACTATAACGGTAGAGGTACGTAATCTACTAGTTTTGTCCAGCGAGGTCAAAAGTATCATGTTATCGACCAAACCGCGGTTCGGAAATTCTACTTTCGGGACGCTAGAGAAAAAAAATTAAATTTTTTTAAAACAACAAAATAAAAATATACATGTCCCCCCCCCTTCAGTCAAATCAAAAGATTTAATTGTTTTGGTCTATGGTCGTAACATCTTATTCACACGCTGCGCCGTGCGGCAATTCAACGTTTCCTGCACGTAAAAGCGTAATGGAAATCAAACTTTCAGCACGTGTGCGAAAAATATCTAAGTATATACTTCATAAGAAAAAGTAAAAGTAAGTTAAAAAAAACACAAAACCGTAAAGGATACCGCTTTTCGATGTAAATGTTAAGTTGGATGAAATGTTAGGGAGGGTTGGAGAATCTTACAATAAAAATACAATTTGTATCTCATGTAAAAGTCACTTATTTCTTTATTATTAATTCATATATAATCATTTGTCATTCTTTAGCTTTTTAACAGTTATCTCATCTCAACGATCACAATGCTCCGCATATTTTCTCGCTTTCTCTCGTACCCTTGCAAACTCTTGATTTTTATCTTTATTACAATACAGATTTGCGTTTACAATAACGCATGGTAAAAGCAGTGAAAAATAATAACCGATTATTAATCATTAATGAAATACAATTTTATGTTTATTTCTCACTTCCTTCGCACGTGCTCTGCTTCGATTTGTCGTACACTTTTTTTTCATTTTTTTAAATCTAATTTCCACTGAAGGAAATTCTATTCACGAACTAATCATGAAAACCAGAACAGACAAAGCGTTAGCCTTTACGGTCATGTATGTCTTTTACTTTCTCTAAAGAGGCATATATCATTTATATAATTTTTGCACGTGACATGTGGGAAGTTCGATTTCCATCTTGCTTTTCGGCGCGGAAAACGCTAATATGCCGTACGGCTCGTCAACATGCAGGAAAGACATTGCGCCCATGGATCGGCAGCGATCAAACCTTTTGAGGGGGGGGGGGGGGGGGGGGGGGGCTTGTGCCCCCATCTTGAACATCTATATTCATAATTTCTTTGTTTTAATTAAATAGTTGTTATTTTTGTGCCCAGCGATACAAAAGTAGCATTTTCCCGACCGCGGCTCGGTCGGTAACATGCGAATTTCACCTCTGCTGAGCAAAAAAATTGTACTCTTAATCTACTACTTGTCAATTCCTCGAACTTCCCGCATCATGCGTGAAAAAATAGTGTATTACTCTTCTGCTTAATTGTGACGCAATAAACTGCGTGCAATTTAACTATAAAGCAGTTGATTAATCATCAACCTTCTATTTTTAGCTATGTTTTATTTTTACTTCTCAATGGGTTGATCTAAAAATTGTTACTTAGAAAGCTCTGAGAATGATAAGTTGACCACGACCGGAAGGGATAATACAATTTTTTTCAGTTTTCACAAGATATCGTAGGCACACATCTTTGATACTTAGACTTACATCAACTAATTAATTATTTTTAATATTTTTAGAAAACTTTACAAGTTTACTCATGTAACTTTTCCTGCATTTTAACAGAGTTTTTTAAAGGTATTCGTAGATTGAAATATTTCGAGATACGTGCGAAGGTCTACAGAATTGGTAAGAAATGTAGAAATACGAAAGAAACGATTGGTCAAGTTTTTGTTTTATCTTTACAATTAAGGACGAAGAAAAGCTTGATCACAATCGTTACTATGAGTAGATTTTTGTTTATTTGAAAAATGTCGTGTAAATTAATTAATAAACGATGCTTATAATCTAAAATTATCGTTAGGAATCAATTTTTAAAGTGTCTACGGACAAATATTTGTTGGGTAGCATTAGACAGAATGAGAAATTTGTTCTATCACGTTTCTCATTCCTTCACAAAATTCTACTTTCTTTTTTATGTTCACTTGAGAGCGGATTTACTAATTACTATTAAGATGTGAAAACGTTGAATAGAATTAAAAGAGCCACGGCAACTCTACGAAGAATCGCGAAAAATTCCGCAGATGTTCATTAGTTTAAAGCAATATTCAACCTTTTTTACATGATAAAAGTACAAATGAAAGCGGATTTTTTTGTCTCATATAAAAAACATAGAAAAGAATTTTATCATTCCAGATTGTTCGTAGAGTGTCTGGGCGCCGCAATGATCACAGCTATTTTAAGATATTCTATACGAAGTGTTTATACGCATATCGGTAAGAACAATCGGTGCCTATTGTCCTAAAAGTAAAAATTTTCTCGCCCGTACAATCTATTATATATCCAGTTTGTAAACGATAGCGATTGAGACCGATGATAACGACCGCACTATCATTGGTTTCTTTTCGCCACGTCTAGTAATTTCTTTTCTACTCTTATTTTTACTTTTATGTATTTTTTAATAAGTGAAAAACGAGCAACGCGTTATCGCTCAAAAGGTTTATACTTTTTTTGGGATTTCCATAGTACAAAATAATGAATCGAACTTTTTTTTGTTTAACCAGCGACTCGGTTGGTTGCAAAGTTTTAACGCTGAAATAAATAATTCAAATATTATATTTCAGATAAAGCTTAATTATAGAAATTCAGCGGCGTATCTAAAAATCAGTCGTATGGGATTTTACTGTAAATATACATAAAGATGATAAATATAAAACTAGGTAATTTTGCCAATTGCTTTGCTACAGCGGAATAAACTTGATTATTATGTTCATCTTGAAAACGAAAGTAAACGTACTGTTTTAATTATTCTTACATATATATAAGTCATTGCACACTCGAGTGATTACTTAGACGAATAATAGCAAGTTTATCATACGAATATATATTATTCATATGCGTATATCTTCAAGATATACAATTATACGATTTTAATATATAAAGGTATGACCAAAGCTGAATATCGTAAGTTCATACGAATTATAAAACTTATATGTCTACTCTCCACGGAGTGTGAATATTATCTATATATATATGCTTCTCACAGTATAATTACGTAGAGCATGCTTTTTTATTTTTTCTTTAATATTTTTTATTGTTTAAGAATCAATGGACTGGTTGTATCCCTTTATCATTATTATTTCAATTCGATGTTTTGTTTTTTATCAATATAAAAAAATCGACAATCGACAAGTTATTAGTATGCTTGACAATTTTAAATTAAAACGTGAAGAAAACTAAAATATTAAACATTGTATTGCAAGCGTCGCTCGGACTTACGTCAATGATTAAGGTTGTTTCTAAATCACTTGCTGTCCTTGCTATGTACTATAAAAAATAACAACATAATAAATACGGATTCTCTCTCTCTCTCTCTCTCTCTCTCTCTCTCTCTCTCTCTCTCTCTCTCTCTCTCTCTCTCTCTCTCTCACGGTCACAGCAATCCACAGCATTCGACGAATATGTTCCTCCTAGCTTATTTTTTGTCGGCCTTATCACGGGTTTTTAAAATATTTTTTTCATTTTTAAATTATTTATATCACAATAAATGTCAGCGCATCCCTTCGCACGTGTACTTGCTCATACTCAAACTTTTTCGAAGATGCGTCTGGAGGCTCTGGCAGGTTTTGGCCTTTCTTTTGATAATTTCATCGTTCCTTTAAATTAGGCAATGATCTTTTGAAGGAAACATCAATTAATGCTTGCCGGTAGTTATCAGCCTCTGAAGCGGTTTAACTCGCACTCTGAAGAATTTTGTTCCTTGTGGAACCCTGTAGCGGTTTTCCGACTATAAAAATCAAATAACCATTATTCGCTGCTCTTCGTATTGTCTCAGCTAAGCTATTTGTAAATTCAAAAATGTTTACCTTTCTGGCTGAGCAATATTCTTTCTCGACCACTTCTGCGATAACGTGCGGCTTCAATGGTTGTCCATCAGGTTTAAGTTTGAGACCCAGATCAGCGATGCAGTCCGAATTCAAAAAGTAAAAAGTCTGCGAGTCCTGCAGGAGCGTGTAATTGCGATGCTCCTGATCCCAGGTAACGAGCACTATGTCCCCAGTGTTGCAACTCGTATACGTGATTTTTCCGTGTTGCGCCAAAGTGGTTGTGCTCTTGGTAAGCTTATCGCGTAAAGAGTGAGATGATGAAGGCTCGCGACGACTGCGCTCGGTACTCGTTGAGGCATCAACTCGGCTCGGCGACACTCCAACAACTGCCACCGAGAGATTCATTTCTTTATCGTGATTCACTCCTGGTGACGAAGCTATTGAAGATGAGCTCATTGAATCCGTAGATACCACTTTTTTTGATACGCGTTCGGTTACTACATGGCAAACAATTTTGTTAGTATAATTGCAATGAGAACATGCAAACAGCTGCCAAGACACTTACATAATTCAATCTCGAGACGCTGCTTTTCGTTAGTAAGAACCTCCAATTTAGATTCCATGTCTTCTTTGCTTTCGTGTGACGCTCTCAGTTCAGAGTTGAGTCTTTGATTTTCTGCTTCGAGAAGCTCGAGCTTCATAGGTAGAGAAAGCAAATCGCTATCAGTTTCCAGCCTAACTTTCTTAGACTCCGATACCTTCACATCATCAGATTTCTCTGATTTCATCGATTCTCCGAGCTCGCTATTTGTTTGGCTCATCTTCAGACATTCATCCTCTGTTGCGAGTTTACATTCGTCTGTCGTGGGTTCTTCTGCCTGGGATATCATGGACTCATGATTAGACAATTCTAGCAAATCTGCACGCTGTAGAATAAATAATTCAAACAATTAACATTTTTCTTGTTAATTATGAATTATATGGTTTTGAATTCAAAATCTTGATAGAACATACATTTACCTCAATTTTTTCAAGACTTGAATCGCTAGGACTACGTTCTATCGTGGAAGCATGTATCAATTTAAATCTACTTCTTATGGCTTCACACTGAGCTTTGTATTCTACTACCTGTAATTTGTCGTTCTCTTCCTTCATGGTTTTTTGAAACCTAATCTCGGCTAAGATCAATTTTTCTTCTAGTTTTTCTACTTTTTCTTGACTCTTTTCCAGGGAATTTCTCAAAGTATTCGTTTCTGCAACTCTGGCATCATCAGCTTCCTTGATGGCGGCCTCTTTATCGGCGAGCGTCTGCTCCAATCTCTCTTCAATTTGCCTGAAGAATGATAATTTTATATCCGACCATTGTAAATAAAAATAATTCTATAAAAGTGAAATAAATAGATCAATTAATTACCTATAGACGATTTGCAATTTCTTCATCTCTTGCTGTTCACCTTCAATCTTCTGCCTCATGGTCGCAATAAGCTTGTCCTTTTCCGAGCTGTCTGTCTCTTTATCCGCCAAAGCTCTCTCGAGATTACAAATCTGCTCGTCTCTAGTTTGTAGCATCTTTTTCAAATCCGACAGCTCGAGCTCATGATCAACTGTGATTTCTTGTTCTCGTTCCTTCAGTGCGCATCTATGGACTGAAAGTACCTTGCAGATATCCTCGACGTGTTTGGTAATGATTTGTCGATCCAACATAGAGTGTTCTTTCATGATATCGAGTTCACGACGTAGCATGCGAATGGAATCCCTAGCCACAGATTTCAAGTTACGGATTGTGTCACGCAGACGTTCTACTTCTTCACGTGAGTTATTCAGATTTTCCTAAAATGTTTCAGTAAGTTTATTTTTTTTTAATTCTTAGAATTTATGTACAAAAAGTTATTTTCAATATCTCGTGTTTACTTTGTACATTGTTACTTTTACTTTTTAAATGTCAACATCTTTAATATATTTTTTATTACTTCATGGTGGCATTCATGCATGTGGAATCAAATATCTCAGAAAACAATTTTCTGATTCATATCACTTTTTTCTGTGGCTATATTATTTGAGTAATAGTAAGCATATAATAGAACTATAAGTAATCAGACTTAAAATATAAATGTATTGTTATAGGTTATAGTGAAAAACGTTCATTCTTGCCTGGAAGTAAAATATATATTGGAAAAGAATGGTAAGGGTTACGGATAAAGAGATAGGATAAGTGCGACGGCAGCTATCCTGAAAAAATCAAAAGTAGACGAAAACCCAGAACCGTAAATAAATTATTAAAAGTTATTTCTTATTTTTGAAAAGATCTAATAGCCGTGGTCTAGCAAGTCCATATTTATTCAGAAAAATAATGACAATGTAAAATAGTAAGCAACAGAACAGATGAATGTAACAAGTGATGTTAAATTTAAGCAAGTAAAATAAACTGAGAATAAAAATGACGTAAATGCACACTATGAAGCGTTTGGATTAGACAACGAGAGGGTGTATACGTTACGAAGGTGAGCTAAATGGACCGTTAAAAATACCGGTACCAAATGGACCGTTAAAAATACCGGTTTCGAGTCAATGTGACTCGGAATATGGTATTTGTAAAAAAAGGAACATCGAAATGGTTTTATCTAGTAATGAAGAAACTTAATGATTTAAAGTAAAAATGTGACAATACAACTTCATATACTGGTAATTATGAACATCTTTCAATTGGTGGTGGTGTTCAACGACTACTTATATGTATTTAACAGCCAATCGAATCTACAGATCAACAGCGGATATGTCGAAGTTGGTAGTGCCCCGTACCTGAAGCAGGGATACAATAGCTTGATGCTGGCTATCAGTCGGATGTTCGCTTAGACTGCTAGGCAGTGATTCGTCCATGTAAAACTCCGTGCCCAGAAAGTCATTAGGTCCAATCCCATTGCCTACGGATGGACTACTCCCATCGCTGCCGGACTGCCGCCTTAGTTTTTTCTGCTGACCGTCGCACGAGCTCGTTGTGGTGTTAGTTGGAAAATTCGAGGCTAATTTAGGGGAAGAAGGGTTGTGCTCAACGCATTCGGTTAGAGGACTGAGAGGCTGCTGATCCTTTTTCTCGCTAGTGGACAAAGATGGGAATTGGAGGAGTTCGCTCGAGGAAGACGTGGATCGATTCAAAGGTGAGACGTTTGTCGAGGTCGACGAGGTCGATATCGAGGCGGCACCAACCTCCATTTGCTTTTGACGAATCGGCGTCTGCTGTTTTATGCTCTCGTATGATGTTAGTTTCGAGTCCGTTGCTGCCTGTCCAATCTTTTCGAACTCTTCCGTGTCAGTTTCAGATTCAAAATCTCCTCTGCAATGATTAACGTCCAATAAATTATAAATCTTATCATTTACGTTAATGGTATGTACATCATTTTCAAATTTCAATTCTCACCTGTCACTTATTAACGGAGGTCTGGCAGCTTCCTGCTCTTTAGGCACGTCATCCACGCGCATCGATGCACTTTCCTTTTCTTTGTTGCCGTCATTACTGCTTTCAGTGATACTTTTGGAGAAGAAAAATTGCGTTATGCTACTCAGATCGGGTGTGGAAACCCTATTTGCTAAATCGGGTAACTTTTGTTTCAACAATTCCATGTCTTCTGGATTCAGCTGTAATGTAAAACATCAATGTGTTCAAAATTCGACTAACGAAATTTAGTGACTAAAACGACGAAATTAATTTTACCTTGGGCAAACCATTATCAAATACTGCAGGAGCCTGTGTGGCAAATGGTGGTGGCACATCCTCTAAGCCTGGGAATAGCGTGTTCAAGAAGTGACCTTCAAATTTATTCCGAAACTCGCGCCTCCTCTCGATCTCCTCACTGTGGACGCTAAGAAGTTGGCTAGCGAGATCACTTGCCCACATGAGAAATGCTTGGGAGAAGGTACGCCGGCGCACAACCTCGGCAATTGCCTCCATGTACATCTGCGGTGCCATGTGAATTTGGCGTAGAATTTCAAGTTGACGACGTAAACGTCGTAGACTTTCGTTATACAAAACCAGCCTGTTGTCAATATCCATCATACAGTTCTCCACTTGCATTATCCATTTAAGACGCTCATGGAGGTTAGGCGCTAACTGCTGTTTTGCCTGAAATCAAGATGTCAAAGGTTAATGAGTTGTATGTCAAGAATTACATTGAGAAAAATATGTTTTATCCAGCATTTTATCGCATTTGATTGGTTATAATATTTATGTTTTTGCGTGCTCATTTTATCTTATCCTAGTAGATTTTCTCGAACAATGTTTCTGAGAAAACGTATGTTATAAGACAATTACCAGAGTGCAACGAGATCGGATGTCACGCAATTCGTTGTGATTTTTGAGCATGACTTCAAGCTGCTTACGATGGGACCTGCAGAGATCAGGTAGGACGCTTTCATCATTGAGTTTGGATACGCGATCTCTGTTCTGACAGAAACCATGCGAGAGCTCTGTTTGTTCACTGACGATTTTCTTCGTATTGACCATCATTTTTTCCAATTGGAAAAGACGTATGCCCATCTGCTCGACGTCTTTCATATCCCGTCGGCTTGCCGCTTCGATCACGTGTTTTATCTGCAGAAGAACAACGAGATTTTTTATTATCGATGAAACTGACAGTTATTTGTTACGAGAAAATTCATGCGCAAAAGCTTCTGACAAACACATTCTTGACTGCAGAATCTGCCTTGAGAATCAAGTTTAGAACTTGTTTATTGAAATTGACGAAATTTTCCAAACATCCTAGTTTGGCGTGAAGCCAGACGAGCTTTGTTTGTTGACTTTTCCAAATGAATATCACGACAGTCGCGAAGACGGCTATACATCGATTGTTGTTTCTGTATATCTGAGTCACGACGATAGTCAGCGGCGACAAAAGTAGTACCGTTCAAATTCAATCCCAACAGCTTTCCAAAGCGCAAGTGGTCTAAATACACGCGCACCGTCATCCATTAAATTCAGTGACCGCAATAAAAAGTGCGCGAGTCGTTAATCCATCGTGGAAACGCGTTGCTGCACTAGTTGCGTAAGAAAAATAGAGAAGAGGAAGAAACAATGCTTACTTCGGTCTTGATTGCCTCCATGGTGCACTCATCGAACTGCTCGAGGCCTCGGGCGCACTGCTCGGCCACCTGCTCCAAGCTGCTCTGATTGTCCTTTGCCGAGATCCATCTAAGCAAGCTCAACGGGTCCGTAGCTGTAATCTCTAACTCGACCTCCTTGGTGCTCGGATTGGTAGGGTTAGTGGTTTCGTTGTCGTCTTTCTCGGCGGCAGCTTCTTGTTGATCCTTCGGATCGTAAAAGCCTTCGGCGTGGGCTCTCAGTGCCGGCAGGATCGGGATGTTCTCGAGCATTTTGAGATCGGTGAAGAAGCTAAAATGGAATCGGAGCGTGAAAGAGTGCGCCGAGGAAGCAGCGGCTGGGGACGGCGGGAAGGGAAAAGCGCTCACGTCTGGAGGAGATCCAAGTAGTGCTGGCGCTCGCTGAGGTAGCCGGCGAAGTTCTGCTGGACCGTCTCGGCGCGACTCTGGAAGGTCTTAGTGATGTCCTCGAGGTTGGCGACCACGGCCGCCCAGCCCTGCTGCTGCAGATGCTGGTCGTGGACGAGGCGCTCGCAGATGCGCGCCTGGTCGCGGGCCAGGCTGCAGCAGTACTTGGCGAGCTGGGCGCGAGACACCAGCGTCTGGTACGTCGCCGGCATCGTCAACGATTGTTCCACCTGGCTCTGCAGATCCACGTCTGCCGAAAAGTAGATAAACTGAATGCTCTGCGCTGCGCGGCACTGCGTTATCGCCGAGTGATACTAGATGGTTGTGATGCCTTTCGAGGAGAAAAATTATCGAAGAAAGAGACCGGTTTTCGGATGGCGCTCGTCATTGGAGTACAACTATCTGCTACGAAGTACTACGAAGTGTACGAATTACTTTTTTCTCCGATAACGCTAATAAGACGGAATTCCTTGAAAAGTGCAGCGCTGACTCCAAGTGCAAACGGATCGAGTAGTTCGTGCGTCTTCGCGTCTTTCGAACGGCGGCCAATGATAGGAGCGCGGTAATTGAGGCAAATCAGGCCAATTATCCTTACGTAAGACTCAGCGCAAAGTGCGCGACAATATTATCTCTCGAAGACGTGCTGCCAAGAGCACTGGTCACCGATCTCAAAAGCTCGCAGGCGAAAATGTCGGCGCACGGGGATACGCCGTCGTCGCTTCCGCCTTCCGCGGGGTGCGCGCATAGCGAAACCGCGGCGCACGGTTAGACTTGTCTCGCGTGCAGGGGACATCCGATCCCCGGAATTATGAAACGGCGAGACACGGTGTCGGTTGCCGTCGCTTTGGCGACGTTTCGGAGCGCGTATTCGGACACCCCGGTAGCGGCGAGCGATTGCCGGGAAAGCTCGCGTCGCCTCCTTATCGAGAGCGAGACGACGACGAAAGGACGGTCGACTCGTCGATGGATTTGCACTCGCGATCGAGAAAGCCGACGCGGGCAGCTCGGCGTCGCGCTCCGCTTTCGATTTTCCGCAACCATGCAGCAAGCGCGCGGAGGGAAAGCCGCTCGGCGCAAGGCGGCTGTCGATCGTCTCGACGCAGGCGGAGCTACGGCCACGACGGAGAGATCGATAAGCGGAGGCTTATGCAGCGGACGCGTTGCGAAATCACGCGCGGCCACGATAAAAGCCGAGCGCGCGCGCTGCAGCGAGGCTCTCGCGGCTCTCTCGCGCGGCGGCGTCGCACTGTCTGACGGGCTCGAGGCCGAGCCTCTCTTACGCTCGCTGGCGGCGATCGACTCGGCACGCTGCTGGCGATGCCAAGTTTTCCGAGCTGCCAGATTTCGTAGGTGAAAACGAAGGATCGTTACCAGAGCCGTAGTCGATGATGGGCGTGGGCGGCTCGTCCTGCGCAATGAGAAGCTTGCTGAAGAGGAAGATCGGGTTGGTGTCGGAGCCCGTGGAGTAGCAGCAGACCCGGGCGTCCGGCTCGAGGCTCTCGCCACCGCTCATCAGCAGCACCTGCTGGTCCGCGCTCACCGCGCATTCTCTCTCGATCGTCTGCTTCAGTTCCGCCACGCTGCAACAAAGCCAAGAGCCGTGCTCAAGCTCGCAGTTTCCGAGCGGACCGAGCGCACGGCGATTTTCACGGGGCAACGCGGTCGCCGTGTAGGGCTGCTGGAGCGTGCGGGAGAGCGGACGAGCGGTCACCGTGATGCCAGCATCGCATCGGCCTTCGGGCGCCTATTAATAAAGCGCTGACGCGGCGCGCGGTCGCGAGACGAGAGCAGCTGCCCCACGGAATGAAACTTAGTTTTCGTCGCCGGCTCGGTCGTCGCGATCGCTTACGTAAGCTCGCGAGCGCCCGGCCGAGTCGCGGCCTTCGCCGGCACGCCCGAATCAAGGTCGACCGGCCGTCCGCGCTCGTCGCCCCCGACGAATTTCGTCGGGTCGCCTTTGTTCGCGCGAGGCGCGCGAGGCGCGCGAGGCGCGCGAGCGGAGGGGGCACAAGCGAAGTGAGTCGAGGCGCGCGAAACAAAACCTCTTTCCTATCGGGCGCAGCGACCTGCTTGCAGTGCCCACCGCTCGCGCAGGTCCCTCTCTCTCTCTCTCTCTCTCTCTCTCTCTCTCTCTCTCTCTCTCTCTCTCTCTCTCTCTCTCTCTACGTAGCGCGTCGACGTTGCGACACGATGCCGGAGCTGCAAGCCGCTTTCCCATCCGTAATGCATGAGAATCGAGCGGTGGAAAGTTCCTTCGCAAACGCGCCATCTTCGGATCGCCCCCGACGCAACTCGATTGACGAACGCGTTGCTCTCACGCGGCGGCGCCCTGTCACTTATAGTCAAGGGGCCATTCAATTTCGAGGGTGTTTACCCGATCGAGGCAACTCTCGATTGCTTACGTTACGTCCCGAGCGGCATAAGACAACCGAGAGGTAAGAAACGCTATCTTTTCTCTTCGTTGATGTTAATATTCATTTTGTTCTCGCGATGTACAAGACGTTTTTTGTAGAGGCGGGTGAGCGTTTCTTGGCTGATGAAACCTGTCGAGGGTTTTCTCGAGGAGTAAGTCGAGTAGCTCGCAAGGGGAAGACACTCGGTGTCCGATTATGCGAGTTGCTGAAAATTAGCATTACGGAAACCGTATTGCTTTGTAACATAAACAATCGAAAATCGCTTCGACCAGCTGAACACCCTCGAAATACCGATTCCGTGGGTGAAATACATCTAGAAAGCTTGGATGTTTAACGTGACCACAATCGCCCACGGTAAGGCCCATAACTCGTAGACTATCACGGCTAATTCGATGAGACGCGGCGAGAGCAGCGATTTTAATTTTTTTCATTCTTTGTGGTTTTCCTTCCTTCCTTCCTTTTCGTTTCTCGTTGATGCCAAAGACTCGCGAGACTCCGAGCTCGAGTAATTAAAGACTATAATTGGTAGTAGAACTGGGGAAAGTTGGTAAATACTTGTGCATTGACGAACTTATCTGTCGGCCGCTTACTCGAGCGCTGCGTTTAAACTTTTCTCTGGCAATGATCGCTGACGTTGTATTCTAGTCTCCGTTAACCATTGGAAATCAACGAGAAAAATTGAATGGATCTCCGGGCCGCGCGCCACGATTGCGGTGACTTCTTTGCCGGTGAGAAGCTTCTTTGCCTACGAAATATTGCCGATAACCTTGGTCGATTATCGAAATAAACCGGCGCGTGCGGGAATGGACGAACTGTAAAGAGGAGCGAGGTGTGCGTAACGTGCAACTGCATTGGATCCGAAATAATAATTGCGAGGCGCACGGAACATGGAAGACTCGCGTGTGTAGGCAACGCGTCGAGCGCTTTCAGTCGCGAAGAAGCGCCGATAACCGAGCTTTTACGGGACAATCTCGAATTTTTTTTTCTTATTCCCATTTTCATTCTGATAAAAAAAGAAAGAAAAAAAAGAAAAGAAAAAGAAAAACACGTCTGTTTATTTGAACCGCACGATAGCCGTCGAGTGGACAAGTCGTATACGCGATATCAAAAGTCGTATAAATCACAAAGCTAATGTGTTCAATGAACCGAGAACTGAACGAGCGCATCAAGTTTTCCTTCGGATCATCTCTGTGCCAATCTGTTTTAAAGCCACAGCATTGAGTTATCCATGCGTTTTACTTTGCCGCATTTCCTCGTATCATTGTTGCGTTAGATTGCGCTAAGCGCGATTTTATTGAGTCTACGCGTGCATGTGTGCGTATACTGGTTACATTCTAGCTGTACAATATTAAATCGATCGAAATAGACGGGCGTTATATAAGGAATTAATTATAGATTGCGCTCGCATCCCACCTTCATCCAAGTGTTAATTTTAATTGAAACGAGATAGAGCAAACGCGCTTTCATTCAGTTATTTTCCCCCTGCGTAACTTGTTCGTTGTTATGTCAACTGCAAGACTGAGAACTTGATCTTTGTCACAACAAAGACGAAGATAAAACCGAGACACACGGTCACGTGATTGAACCAAGTAGACATTATGTCAGACACAAATTAATGAAAACAAGCGTATCTAAGCCGTTAAGCGACTGCGACGAACGTTTTTAAAATAAGAGAATCTATTGCTGTATCAGTTAAAAATTGTATTGCAATCAAGTCCAAATACATTATAAATTGTGTCGCGTTAATTAATGTTTTCATGATTGATGCAAATCATAATTTCTAACTCTCATTGCATCACTAGATCTATCACTAATGAGCATATACACCACTGAGCTGCATGATAAGTTGCAGTTTAAATTGGGCTATGAGATCATTTTACAAATAATTTGGATAACACAGAATCATAAAAATATGACGAATAATATTAAGAAATATGAACCCACCTGGCTAGAGCAAATTTGTTATCAAAGGTGAAGGTGGCACCAGTTTCAACTTGGAATACATAGAGCATATTCATGTTGGTAGTCTAATTGTGGTCCTCGTTAAAAGATATAATGGTTTGCCGACCAAGTCAAAGATCTTTCTCTAGTTGTGTGACTGTCATTCGACTATTGAGACCTTTTTAGTCAGCTCAGCTGGGGCCGATCCCCACGTTCCACTGTCTGCGCGAGGACGGCCCCTGTCTGCTTCAATATCATTGGTTTCGCAAAGTTACCTTTTGGATTTGTTCACAAGTCCTCACGCAGACTACTTCAACTGCAACAGCTACTATCAGTTTCATTCAGAACTCAACAAGATAAATCTCTATATGGATACTCTTGCAATTGATTCTCCTGTCTCTTTCTTGATGATTTGTATGGTAATTGTACTGATGAACGAGTGTCAAAGGCTTAGAACATACTAGAGATCAAAAATTTGCTCGCATGTAGACTGCAGTCTCACTTGATACATAGGAGATACTCTTAGGAACCTTGCTTGCAAATTGTTCAATAAAAAAAAGCTTGCCTCTTTGACTAGTTATACTTTTGAGTGATAAATCTTTTAGAAATTCTCTGTTGATTAGAGGACGACCTCTCCTATCTTCTTTCCTGTCCAAGACGATACTTATAACAGCCTTGAGTTGAGTTATGTAAAAAGGTCAGCCCTTAGAGCCATTGCAATCTTATTTATTCACCTGTAACAGACAATTTTTTTATGATCACTTCAAGTGATACACACATACAGACTGTGGTTAGACACCCAATAAAGACAATGATTAGCGTACTCCATTTTTAACTTGGGGAAAGCTCTACAAGCATATAAGTACGCTGCACTGGGCCTTTAAATTTAATAAACGCATATCCATGTTACGTTGACTGACAAACAAAAACAAGTAGAGCTAGTTGGTAATGAAGCGAAGTAGCGGATCAACACAAAGGATTTTTCTCATCGCTCACCCGCACAATGAACCCGCTCATGAGTGTCAGTGCACAGATCAGAGTTTTTTCAAATGACAGTTGACGAGCGACAGGTGCATTGAAAAATGGAAACGATAGCTTTCAGTTGCGAAGTCCAGAGCGGAGAATCGATAAAGAAAAGAGTTACGCTCGTTCGCACGCGCGCTCTCTCTCTCTCTCTCTCTCCCTCTCGCTCACTCATTCGTCGACGCGGGTCGGGACTTGTCAAGCGGCCGACAATCTGTTTGGCGAAGGGAAGTCAACAGTACTAGCAGTAGTGCGAACGTACCGAGAAGAAAGGTGAAATGAAGCAACGAGTTGGCAAATGACGAACGTGAAGCTCACCTTCGACTTAATGGACTTCGGCCAGGTCAGTCAGTTCCTCGTTCTTGCGTCCCTTAGCTGCGTCGAATCACAACAAACGCGCACAGGCACACCGACGAATCGATAGACAGGTACACACATACACAGAGAAAGAGCGAAGCAAGTGGTTGTGTCGCTGCGCCACTCTCGCGAAGCCGTCGAGAACAAAGGACGAGTGTGCAAGGCTCTCTCGTCTCGTCGTCACCGTCAATTTTGTGAGTCGAATACTGGTAAGTCGTCTGGGTTATCTGTCAGTTGAGATTTCGTTACTCCAGTGACATTGTTTTCTGTTCTGCGCACACACACCCGCGCACCGCTACTTCTCTTTTTCGTAGTCGTGTGTATCCGTGTACGTATGCGAAAAGAAATTGTGTGCAGTCCCGTCGACCGCCAGCTGTTCACTGAGCTGCTGATCGAGCGCTCGCACAACAAAAAGAGTACCGCGCTCGCTCTCCGCTCCCTCTCCCCTTCCCCTTCTCGTCGCTACTACCAACAACATCTCAGCTATCTCTGTCTCGTGCACGTGTTTGTGCGCAGTAGCGACCCCGCAGTTTCGACGTCACACCGAAAATCCGACATTTTTCACGTTCTTTTTGAGTCCTGTTTTCCAAAACCACCTTATGTCCACTGATTAATTTCTCTGGATTCGAAAGTGATGCCTAATTATTTTTCTTTTCAGTTTTAGATGATTGTACACGCAAAAAGAAAGGAGACATGTATGAACGCGTGCGGAGACTGATTTTTTAATTAATATGTACATAATTAATGAGTTACCTATAAAAATAGACAGAATTTACGTTCTTCTTGATTTTGGACAATCGTGATGGAACGAGATTTCGACTGACAATGTTTAGGAATACTTTTACAAAGTAAGAATTTTTTTTTCGCAGTAGATTGAGGTTAACGAGACAAACATAAACAGACCGTGGATTGTCCGTTATTCGCTGATCATATCGTAGAAAGGCGCTCCTGAAATCGTTGAATTAGTTAACGAATAATAGCTCGATTCGGTGAGATAGTGCTTTGACGATGTTACGAGAGATCAGCAAACGAAGACGCAAAAGCATCTGTGTTGCGCCCGAGCAAGTTACGCCCCTGGTTCTACGAGCAGTAGATCCAGTTTGGCCTGCCTATACGCGTCTCGTTTTATCAAGCGTTCGTTCGTTTCTATCAATGTAAAATTACCAATGCAATATCTGGTGATAGAGCGTAATAGTTATCCTAGCAAACTAAAATTTCAACGCCTCAGTGGCTACCAAAGACGCTTCTAAAACAGTAGAGTATAGCAGAGGTAAAGTAATCGCGTGCACGAGAGTGAGACGGAGCGATGCGATTCTCTTGCGAGAGCAAGAGAGACGGACAGAAAATATACAGGCTAGATAGTCGACGCTGGCATAAGCAACGTAAATTGGTAAAGATGAGGAGGGGCGCGCGAGTAGCGGCTCGGATATGTGCGCAGATGACTGTCATTTGAAGTCACCTCGTTTTTGACGCAAATCCATGCACGCGCATGCGGCCTGTAACTTGATGTAATTGCACTCGAGGCTTCATCGATTGGGCTTCGGCTGTGTAACACACTTGCGCTTCGCAGCTTGGTTGTGTCGGTCACGAAGAGTATACAAGAAGGAGAGCCAACGAGCTCGGTGGGCACTTGGGGCGAATGTACATACGAAAATTTCGTAAGACTTTTCCAAGATGGCGGCGGAACTAGTTCGAATATCTGTACACTTGAACTATAACGAATGTCTAAATATAGACTATTCGCAAAATTGAATTGCAATCATGATTGTCTGCAAGACAAGTTGAACTAGCCAAAATTTTATGAAATTTATGCAAATTCGTACCGCTTATGCGTATCGTTCGCGTACTACTTCATTCGCCTTTGCTTCTCTCTCGCGCTGGAACGACCTCGCCACAGCTTCACTTTCGCAGCAAATCCGAGGCCCAAGGCTCTTTAAAAACACGGAGCGCCTAGCAGATGGTCACGGTGGGGAAATTTTCACGCCTCGCAGCGGCAGGAGCACGGAGGGATGCATCGCCCGTTGTTGAATATTTCACGGAAGCGCGCAAGAGTCGGTCGTACGTCCGACTGATTACACTTATACTCGTATGTACATGTGTCGAAGCAGATTTTCCGCGAGCACGCCGACGCAAAGAGACGAAAGAACGAGGAATAACGCGAAAAAAATATAGTGCGAGAGCGAGCGTGTGCTGCTTATCGAGGAGAGCATCGACAAACCGTTCGACAACCTCGTACGAACGGTTCTCTCTTTCTGAGCCATCGCTTCCTTTCGAACTCATTCCCAATACGCAGTAGTTTTCGTCGATTGCCAAGAACGATGTCGAAAATTCATACGAATCGTGGCAATGACGGATTCCGCGTCCGTTGCATCGTAAACAACGTATTCTACGCAGCAACTTGGATTTCGGTCTTTTCCTCTCGCTTTTCACATCTGCTCGTCAGAGAGTTTGTGCCCTTTCTCCAAGCTAGCTGCTGGCCACCGACGGCGCTTCCGTTGACTAAATTGCTCTCCGGGGTACCGAAAACATGTAACTAAGTTTAGCGCATATTTTCTCATTTCATCTTCTCTTCCACGGGCTAAATGTCAATCAAAGAAAATTGGCTGATATTTTAGTAGCATTGCTAATTAAATTTCAACTGTAATAACAAACTCCGAATGGGAGAAACGTTGGTCAAATAATTTCGGGACCCTAGACGCAATGTTTCCAGCGGCAACGCTGGCCGCTGGAATCCTTTTTTATTACCACGCGACATAAATCTGAAGAGAGCGCTCTCGAGTGCCCTCGCTCGCCCAATCCTTGTGTGCGTGTGCGTGTGCGTGTGCGTGTGTGCGCGTTTGAAAAAAACTCTCGTTCCCTCTCCCCAGTGACCTTCGGTCCCAAACTAAGCTGCGCAGGAGCCTCCTAGCAGGCTGCACTTTTCCTTTCCCTTGGGCGCCATCTTCGCCGTCACTTGAACGCACTTGCGAAACGTGCGAAACATCCATTCAATCGGGATATAAGCCGTGTAATCGTATGATGACGTTCATCGCGCAATTTAAATGCCTCGCGCGGCGCTCCGCTGACTGCGACGCTCCGCTGCTCTGGCAATTTGCGCAGCTGCTTACCGACCTGCACGGACCTTCGCCTCCCTTTGTTCGGACGGCGCACTTTCGTTCATTTTCTCCCGCCCATTAGCATGGCCGGGTATATATATTGATTTTTCACGAAATCCCGTGCGTGCAACGTTGCCGTGCGGCCGCATCGCAACGCTGCTCTTCTCTCTCGGACAGTCGAGCAGCTCGATCGTCGGCTCTCGGTCCGAGTTTGCGTCGCGAATAGGCTGGCGCGGCATGAACACCCGTCGCGAGATCGAACAGCGAAGAGTCCGAAGAGTCGGGCGCGAGGAGCCGCGATCGGCGCCACGTATCGACCCCCTAACCCACTTGGCCGCGCGCGACCGTAGCTACGCGGTGAAGTCCATTCGAGATTCGACGATGCGCGCGGAGCTTCGCCCGACTAACAGCGTCGCACCGTGGGACGCGCGCGCCGATTCACCTGGCTCTTGCCGCTACGTCGATCGTCGCGATCGTCGCGATCGTCAGCGCGCGCACGAGATCGGCAAAAGTTACAAACGTTACGCCAGCCGCTGCGGGAGCGCAAGACAAAGTGTCGCTGCAGCTGCGACGACGACGATGACGCGTTTCCACGGAATGCGCCTTATTTATCGCGCGATTGCCACGCGCGCTGTCGCGTCATCGAGAACAGCGTTTGCAAGCGAAGAAGGTGTAGCAAATCTACTCGAAGAGCGATGCCGCGAATGGCGTCGTTTCTTTGTTTCGCTCGTCGCGTTAGTCGTTGGCGTGCCTCGTTCACTACGAACTTTTGGCCGCGAGAGCCGACAGGCGCGCCTCCAAAGTATATTTTCGGCCGGCTCTCTCTCTCTCTCTCTCTCTCTCTCTCTTTCTCGCAATGGAAGTGTGTTTTCGCCGGGACGTCGGCCACGTTCTCCCACTTTGTTCTCGTAAGAGAAACTTGTTACGGGTGCGGATCGACAAGGAAACGCGTATTCGCGCGGAAACTAGCCGCGCGTCACATCAAAATATGTAGAGATTGACAAACACATTGAAATCGCTCGGCTTGAACAGTTCTTCCGCTATGGTCGCTCGCTTTCTTTCTCTCGAATTTCCCGTTTATCTTCCGCGCAATCTTGCCCTCGTTAAGCTCTCTCGGACGGAGCTGATTGGGTGCGAATGCTCGAATTCAAGATAAATTGGTTCGGCGAGATACGCAATAACGAGCACGTGGTCCAACGCCTGCTAAAAAGAGGCATCGGCCTCGCGGTCACTTTCGGCGTTCCGCTCGGTTACGGATTCTGAGCCCGATCGCAACGCAAAGCAACAATTTCGTCATGCCGATGTCGCGCGCCATAGCGGTCGATTTCGTCAGCCGCGAGCTCATCTTGGGATCGCGAAATTGTCATCGGTCGTCGACGGAACGGAGAAGAAAAATCGTCGAACGGAACGAGCCGGAGTAAAGAGTTGGAAAGCGGCCAAACGGCGCAAAGGTTGTGGATACGCGCTAGAATCGCCAGCCACGAGTGGTCTAACTCCTCGAAGGATTAATAAACGCGAGTCGGCCGTGGACGACGGGCGGATACAAGTGGCGCGTCGAGCTCATAAATAGGCCGACGTATACATATATAGCGAAGGCTGTACCTCTCGTCGACACAATTATGTTACCGAGGGACGCGGACGGGCATCACGCTTGCGCGCTCTCTCTATTTCGGACGAGAGGAAGAAGAAGAAGAAGAAGTCGAAGAAGGGTGGGCCGGATACTGAACTCTGCTCCCGCGAGCGCGAGCGCGGGCGCGCGTCGAGCACGCGCGCGACAAGGTCGTCCATCTCTCGCTGGCCGACGAACTGTCGCGCCCGTCCAATTTTTTTTTTCCTTCGCTGCCTCGATGGTGGGGACCAGATAGCGCGACTGCTAGCCTACTTCGGATGTAAATATTTTGGCTGTGCCGCGCGCGGTCACGCAACGCGCCAGGCCGCTTCGCGTGCTGCGCGAGATTGATTCGATGCTAATCGAGCTCCTCGAATCTGCCTTCGCGCGCGTATACGCGTACGTGGGACGACGCGACAGCTGCCCCCGACTTTCCTTTTGTCGACCCAATGGACGGTCATTCGCGCTCATCAGCCATATTAATTCAAACTGTGCCACTGGAACTCCGATTCCTTGTCTTTCTTCATTTGCAGCTTATTCAGCGTCAAAGCAGCATTCGATCGATTCCATTTTTCTGGTTGCTCGTTATCTTCGTCCGTAGGCACGCTTCGTTTGTTTCAGAGGATAAGCGTGCTCTACTCAATTACTTAACGACTCAAGTTTATTTGCGACTTTCTACATTGGCTTCGAAACGAAACCTTCGCTCGTAATTGCGCTGCTAAGATTGGACGACCATTTTAATCAATGGAACATTCAATTGCATGGAAATGCTAGGCTTTTTTCTCAATTAAAAATTGAAATGCGATATTTGACTACGTAGCTTTCAGTTTGGAATAAAAACAGTCTGTCGACCTGTCTCGATGATGTTTTAATACGACGATTTATTTGTGCGTTCTTTGACGCAGATGTAGCTTGAAAACAGACTGCTGGATAATGCGCTATTCTAATTATTTTATCGCAAGACAGCTGAACGCGTCGTTCGCAATACCGGGGCTGAAGCTGTCGATCAAGTAGATGCCAGCTGATTAGGCACGTGCTCGTCGCCGAGCTCAGGAGCTGAAATTTGAATGAGCAAGCCATTCGTAACAAACATTTGGATTGCGATTCCGCTGAGATCTCATTGTCTTGGCGGCCGGCAGGTGCGGTCGACGAGCGAAAAAGCCGCGACGCGAGGCGAAACGACAATGAACGGACGGCGCGGCAGTCGAGACTCGAGAGGCATGCGGCAGTCGCGTGAACGTCGCGAGGTCAGAGCCGCTCTGCAGCGCGGGAGCACGCGCGGCTTGGCGCCGCGTACATGGTGATTCGGCGCGCCTACGCGAGTTCACGCGCTCGCACCAAATCGACCGCGACGACTGCACTCTTATCCGCGCGCTCGCTCGGTGAACCTCGACCACCTATCTCCGCGGCTGCGCTCTCGGCCGTGCGTCTCGCTGGTCGCGGCACGGCCAGCCCTGCGCCCTCGCGACGCGGGTCGTCGATCTCGCGCCGGGCTCGAGCGCGAGAGACGCATCCGCGACCACTGAGCTGCTGCCGACGCGACCGTGCTATTTCGATAAACGAAGCCGTTGCGCAATGCCCCGTGTGCGCATAGGCCTCGACGCGCACGTGTGGGAGTGCGCGATTGCGGCTCGGCCGCCGATTGCGCAACGATGCGATGTGTGTCAAATTGCGAGTGCGAACTCGGGTCCCATCGCCGCGTGCACGTATGCGGGGCAAACTTGCGTTTGGATGCAGCTACCGATCGGCGCGGCTTCGCGAACAGCGTCGCGGAGGGATCGAATAAAACGAGCGATCCCGCTGTCGAGGAGAAAATTGAACACCAGCAGCTGTGTGGATTTATAATACAAGTTTATTTAACGTGACGTGCATGTTTCAGCGATCATTGTTTCTTACTCGAAGATCCTCCAAATTGGTAATATTATACAATCAATGGTTTTTCGTCGTTTCACGGACTAACGCGACTATGAGTCGCTTTTATATAGTAAATATGTATGTATATATATATATATATATATATATATACACACACATATACAAGGACGTATAATAATAATGACAATTCTCACATGGTGGTATATATAAAGAATTGATAAATATATATGTGTATTTGTTTGAAATGTACAGTGAATAATGAAAGAATAGACTATATAGTAAAGAGGCTGTAACAATGAAAATATACAAATGGCAGAGAGAAGCAATGGAAAGCCTCGAGCGGGGCATCCGATTGTAGGACGTGGATCTTCTGGCCGACACTTGCTTCGATTCTCTCTGTACAATGCGAAGTCTCCACTTGGCAAGAGCATGACATGGCTTGGATTTCGTTTGTAGAGCGAACAGCGCAACGCGCACCCGCGGCAGCGGCCTTTCCTCGGCCGAGCGTGTCCCGCCATCTGTGCCGCAGCGCGCAAAATCCACACCGCTCCGCTTATTTATAGTACGCTCGACAAAATACTCGCATCGGCCTCGTGCGTCCTCTCTCTCTCTCTCTCTCTCTCTCTCTCTCTCTCTCTCTCTCTCTCGCACTCGAGATTTATAGCTCGACGCTCGCACGCGCGTCCAAATTCTCCTGGCGACGGTGCACGCACGCGCGGGATCATTGCTCGCTGCCCGTATTCCTTCGTCTCCTCGCGTCCGAGCTCGCCTCGTTCGTTTGATTTCGCGAGCATCGCGGTGACGGCACAAAATAAATACAGCCACACACAAGTTTTTCCTCCAATCACCTTTTTATTGCTATCATGTGCGAATAAATCTTGTATAATGAAACAGAGCGAGCGAACAACGTTACTCAAAGTTTTCTCCGTTTGCCATCGACACTTGAACAAGTGATCGTCGTCGTGCGTAATGGCATATATCTCCTCGTAAAATTAGCTTCGTTCAACGCAACAATGTACTCTTGGTCTGCGACCGCCGTACGCGAATGATACGCGAATGGTACGCCGATAAAATAACACCAGCATGGACCTCCTTCCAAAGCGATATTTCTGCACGGATTTTCAGCTTCTCTGCGCGCGCGCTCTCTCTCTCTCTCTCGATCGGCTTGCTCTGCCCGATGAAATTAAGGTGGTCGACATATAGACACCCAACACGCACAGTCGACCAGTTTAAAAAAAGCGAGTTACAATTTACTTTGTTATCGGGGTTATCGGGGTTGCCCTTAAAAATCTCGTCCGAGTTGAAAAAGTTTCTGCGCACATTAATTAACGACGGAGCTCTGTCCGACTCTGTTACATGTAAAGCTACATTCGTAAGAAAATGATGTAGGATTCGATTACTCGGAGGATCGGAGTTTATCCTTTGAGGAAACATTACGCCTCATCCCCCGAAGCTTCGCGCGTTCACTAAATCAACTAATCGTTTTTTTTCTCCCTCTCTTTGAATTCTCTCGCGAAGCCACAAGCGAATATTCGCGTCGATACAATTTTAAACTTGTTCGTCTTCAAGAATGACACTTTGTTACGATTGGTAGCGACACATTCATTTTTGATTTGCTAAGAAAAATTACAATTTGTTTTTTTACGTTGTTAACTGAAAGTCGAGCACTCGACGCGCAATATGTATAGGTGAAAAATGTTTCTTGGTACCTGCTAATTCGAAAAGCATAGAAGGCACGAGGTACCAAAGCTTTGTCTTATTTTTTGTTTCGCATTAGCCAAATTCAGGTCAACGTGTATAAATGTTTCTGGATTATGCCCATACACTCTTGTGAATTCTTACACTTACGTTCATTTACTCGCAGCAAAGTTTTACTTGTCGAAATGAAGAGGCCCGGAGACATTTACAAAATGGCTCAATACTCCGAGATGTTTTAGATGAAACTCTTGAAACGAGGATATTGCACGTGAATGAGTTTTTTTCAAGTTCTACTTGTCGGCAGTAATTGAGATGGATCCAAAACTCATCAGTTCTTTTACATAAATCTCGAACAGAATCAGTTTCCTTGCATGTAAAAATCCCATGAGTTATGCTAGTTTCCTATTATTAGAAAAAATATTATTCGATGCCTCGGAACCTCTGCAATTTCCCGGTTGAATTGTAAATAGACACATTTTCCTTCACGACAGAGTCGGTATTGCGAAATAAAGTTTCCTCGTTCAGAGGCTACATGAATGGTTGACGTTCCACGTGGATTTTAAAAATCAAATTCATAAGCGTTCTAGAAGAAAAGGAAAAAAATGTAGAACGCTATTGTGAAGGAAAATGTATTTGCATTCTTACAGAAACACGAAACGACGGTTCTTTTTATTTTTTGTAATGGTACAGTGGAGATGAATAAACGCATCTAGGTCAAATGAATCCTTTAAGAAGAATAACAGCGAAGTTTCACAAACGCCGCAGTAGCTTAATCTTAATTAATGAATAATAATTCATCCTTGATAAAATACTCGAAGATAGATCTGTTTGCATTTTGTCGCTCGGGCATTAATAATCATGTAAAGTGCAAAAAACGGTTCTGACGATATGCTAAAATTGTCGTCCTTATCTATAAACAGCCTCGCCCGCGTTCGTCATATCTCTCGGCTCTATAATTAATACAGTACAACGGAGTCATCAGTCGACTTCGGTGGGTCCGAATATTCCAACAACAATCGAGTCGCTCGCGACTTTAATGAATACGCCCCACCGTCTCGAATTAGCCTTTAAAAGCCCATGTACGACTTGCCGATCGTCCGAACATTTTACAAATATTAAACATTACGTGTATATGTAGGATTTGCCTCTTAAAATTGTTCCTTACTTACGTTTGTATTTTGTGCGCACAAGTTTCGGTCTCGCTTAAACGTTGGCTTGCCTTTCCATTACTCCTATCGACAATTAATTCATCATCGATGTTTTATTTCGTTTCTCGGTTCAATTGAATTTCACGTTCAGCTACGTTTTATCCGAATGTATTCCTTTTAGTAATAACATATTTAGTCCCCGAGCAAAGACACCGCGGGGCTCAATTCTTTATTAAAAGTGTTCAGTGTAAAAATACGAGTGTAATTTTTGTCTTTTTCTTGAAATATATTACAGAGTTGTCTCTTATAAGAAACTCGAAGAGAATTGTTTTGGTGAAGCCAAATACAAATATTCGCGTCCTCGTACGTCTGCTTGCAGCAGCGCCTTCGTGCTTCATATATGCGTGCGGACGGTTAACAAATGGTTCGTTTGCGTTAGAGTCTACATAAACGTGGTCGTCAGGTCTGCGAGCATTAACAATAAACGTTTAACAGCAACAACAACATCAACAACAACAGGATAAATCTTGTCTCGCCGACGTCCGACGCGCGACGAGATCTCGTCCATTTTCACAGGTAAAATGCCGCTTCGTCGTGCTTTCTCCTCTTCCTCCGTCGCCCCACGGAACCAATAGCGCGTGCTGGAGCTGTGGTGTCCGCCAGGGGCTCGAGAGTGCCTCCTGCTGCCCTCGCACTTGCTCACATTGCCGCTCGCTCAAGTGACCTGCACGACTCGACGCTCCGGCCGATCGTCGTCGGCCCGCTTGTGCTACGTCAGCAGCTTGATGAACATCAGCGCCAGCGATATGTTGATGAAGAGCACCAGCATCACCAGCTGTTGTCTTGAGAACCAGTCCTGCAAATGAATCGGAAACCGAGCGACATGTAGTTGAAAGCGTAGGAGCCAAGCGAGGCGCTTCGCTCGTCGCTCGTTTCGTTATTGCGGATGATTCGTGGTTTCGTTTGTGTGTCTATACGAGCGTGTGGCATCCAGCATGCTTGGTGCAGAGATACAGAGTCGAGTTGTGTGTGGGTGGGTACGTTGCGCGCGACGGGCGGGGACGGCGGGAAGTCTGTCATGCTTGCAGTTCACACAGAGCGCACGGGGGAGGCGGATTAAGATTGGCTCGGCGTCACATCGACAATAAAATGGCACAACTGATCGTCCAGCTCGGCGAGAAAAAGTCCGATTCGAGAGCGATGGCAGTGAGCCAGCGAGCGGCGGCGACGCCGGCACCGCCAATGAACGCGATTCCAAATCGAAAGTGCGCGGCAATGCGGCAATGCGCCAATGCGCCAATGCGCCAATGGAAAGAGCGGAGAAACCGGCGCAGTCGGTCCATTTTAGTTTACTCGGAGAAATTCCATATTCCATTACAAGCGCTCGTCGAGTCTCTTGTCGTAGATGCGGGATAACTCACTTTGACCTGAGGACTGACAAGGTAGAGGAGAGGGTTAGCTCGGAGCCTCTCGTGCTCGTCGATCTGCCGCCTGATCTCCTCGCGCCGGATGCTGCTGAGCGCGCTGACCTCCTCCCTGGAGAGGGGCGTGGTGGCGGTCAGCTGGATCGGCTGCGCCACGTCCGGCAGCGATTTCTTGCGCTGAAGGCTCATCGCCGCCGCTGGCATCGCCTAAAGACAACAGTGCATGACCTAGCTGTAGCTTGTACTTCGGTTTTTACCCCCGCCCCCGTCCAGCTCTGCCCAACCCAGCTCTGCCGGGGACGGAGAGCACGGAGAGCAGGCCTTTCCTGTTCTCTGCTTTTCTATTGCTTTTAGCCCTCGACAATCTCTTTACACCCGGTAAGCTTCAAGCTACGAATACTGTTAGCAACATAACAATCAAGCAATTTCTGTTAAGTCAATTCATTTTGCAAACGCAATTTTAGAAGAGAAAAAGAGAGATGCAATTTTCGTTTGTACGATCGTTCGTTTGCTCGTGTCGCTCTACGGACTGTGCAGTGCTTTACGTTAATTACCAATCACAGAACGAATGCTTTGCTTGGAACACGACAACTCAATCGTCGTATCACTTGGAATTCTAATATCATTCTGTAGACTGCTATCCTTACCTTCTTCTAGAAAACACGCATTAGAATAAACTCATAACATTGTACGTGGATCAATACGACAGTCGCGGAACGTCGAGTTCAACGTTTTCCTATAGTCGTCAAATTCTTCTCGTTGGAATCCGAAAGTCTGGGAATAGACAGCCGCCGTAGCTAGCCGAGAGTTAAAATAAGTAAAAGTTGGACGAGCCCGCGGGTTTTTCGCTCGGCAACGCGGGTCCGCGCGACGTTACGTAAGCGGCGTTTTCTCGCGAATGCGTTTGACAGTTTGACGAGCGCGTCGGTCGCCCAGGGCATCGAAGACAAAGCGTCTCTCGGTGTACGTCCCGAAATAGACGCCAGACTTTTTGCCGGAAGACGCGCGTAAATCAATCGGCGCCGCGAGCCGATAACGGTGGAGTCGCCGAAGAAGAAGAAGACGACGAGGAAGCCGCGGCGCGACCCCGGAATTATAATTGGCCCGCGAGTCGATTCGCAAGCCACGCGGCGCGCGGGTGCTTCGTGATCCTGGAAGCCAGCCAAGCACGAATCCTCGGCCCCATACTCGCGGCCTCCTCGCGCGCACCACGGCCCGTGAAATTTTTCGACGACGCCGGTCGGCTCGTCCGCGAATGGCCGCCGTCGCGAGAGTTGGGCGCACCCGCCGAATTATGCAAAAGCCGATTCTCGTGCCAGCTGGACGCGGCTGCTCCGACTTGGACGAGCGTCGCCTGGGAGCGGGCTTGTGCAACGCCGCACACGACTGGTGGCGCGTTGCGGTTGTTTAGCCGAGCGCCTAGCAGCAGCTCCGGAAGTGCAGAGACGCTTTGATCTTCTCGGCGAATACTTCGCGGCACTAATCATGTTTATATTCGTAGTGGCTCGCGGACAGTCGTTCGGGCTATTATTTCGGTGTAGTCTCAATGTCACTATAAATTTAGCTATTGACTGGCTGGCTTGAAAACGGCACTGGGCGCTGAAGTATATCGCGGAGGCGCGAGCGAGCAAGCAAAGAATGAGCAAAGGGAAAATAAACGCTTCTCGGAGATGAAAGCGCCGAGAGAGAGAGAGAGAGAGAGAGAGAGAGAGAGAGAGAGAGAGAGAAGAGGATACCTCGACGGGTGGGGCGACGATCCAGGACTCGGAGGCCCGCCTGGCCATGAGTGCCGGACTGCACAGCAGTGCCTCCTCCTCCTCGTCCTCCGCCTCGGACGGCCAAAACATCTTGCCCGCACACCCGCGCTCGTGGCCACAACACTGCCTCAGAGCAGGTCTACGCGCAGGCGATGGCCCGCGGGGGCCACCACCAAAAAGCACTTGGAAGCTCGGACGCGGCCCGACTGAACGTGGTGCTGACTGCTGGTGGTCGCCGACTCGGCCGCGACCAAAATAGAGAGAGAGAGAGAGAGAGAGAGAGAGAGAGAGAGAGAGAGAGAGAGAGAGAGAGAGAGAACAGCCGTCGCCAGCTCCACGCCACTCGGCTCCTCGCGAGTCCCCACTGCACTGCACCACCGTGACTGTGCGCTACGCCCAACGACTGATCGCCAACGCTCGTGCGCTTTGATTAATGGCCTGCGGCTCAACAATGCAACCCTGGCATTGTCAATTTTGGCAGCTGCCATTGCTGCGCCACTTTATCGCGCCCGAGTATCAACAAATTCGCGGGAAATTATTTACTCGACGTCGCTGCTGCTCAGCCCGCCTCACGTATATGATTCACGTTTGGCAAGCCGAGCATTAGCACTCGATTTATAAGACTAAATTGCGCGAGAATTCGAGACGCTGTTTATTTTGACGGAGTCGTTGCTATGATGAGTATTGGCCGCGGCTCAGAAATAGAACTCGAAGCTCCGCGCGAGCGCGCCCATAAAAATCGCGGAGCACTCCGCCTTCCAAGAAATAAAAATTTATCGAGGAACATTCAGCGAGCAAGAGTAGAGGGTGGCGCGCCGGAATTGCACTCGGCCGTATGCAGCACAAGTCAATGAGCTTCGATGATTCGGCGAGGTTCGGCACGAAATTATTTCGAGCCGTCGTCCGAAATGTCGCCGACTGTAAAAGCCCGCGAGCTCTTCTGCATTTGTCGTCCTTGCGCAAATATTTGGCACGAGCCGGGAGACGCTCTATCGCGCTGCTGCGACGGAGGGATAGTGCGAGCCGATCGCGACGATCGTTGGGACTCTGCTGTGTACTCTAAAGCTCGCTCGACACCTGACACGCCGACAGTCGCCGCGAATTGCCTTGTATCCTTCTTCTCCAACGCTTCTATTTGCAACTCTCTTTTTCTCTGCGTTTCAATTATTCAGCAATTTAGTAACTAAAACTAACTGAGATATCTAAATTTACTATTGAATTTTCGCGCTCGAAAGCGAACAGACTCGATGTGTTTTTACGGTAATTTTGAAATCATCAAAGGTCATTGAACTAAAGATTCGTCTACTTCCAGTTTCCCATTTTTATTGTTATATCCTTTTTATTATTTTTAACACATTCAAGATTTTCTACATCGATAACTTACACAAATAATCTTCTTCTACTGGAATAAGTGCATACAAATCGGTCAATGCAGTACGCTAACGTATCAAAATTATTTAAAGGTATTACAGAAAAAAAACAATCATCGAACACAAGATCTATATACCTCCCATAAATTAATCGTAAAAAGTTAGTAATTTGTATTGCATTAATCGTTCACTTAAACTTGCAAATTACATATATGACACGCGTCCATTAATTTATCACAAGCGTCAAACTTACACAATCCAGCTCACTTTTTTTTTAAATAACAGCTTGCTATCAAATTTACAATGGCATTGCACAAGTAGATTTGTTTAGTATGATTTCTTGATTAGCCAGGAAAATGATTATAGATTCGATCTTCTATTACGACTTTTGAAAATTAAAACATAGTTATACATCACTGTTAATTTCATTTTCAGATTTCCGTTTGGTGTTTTCGGTAGTATACGTTAGTATGTTCTCACAATAAGCAGTGCCACAAAAATATCATCGGTATTTTCATTATTTGTACGACTTTATGAAATTAATCAAGGCGAGCTTACTCGACAACAGCATTTATAACGCTGTGTTTTAGCATTTTGTTGTAGTTTAGAAATAGAGTCGACGTAAAAGAAGTGGACACGTCGATGAAGGAATTTTCTTTTGAATAAATAAACAATCACAACGCATATCGAGGTATGTTTCGTATTTACGAGAAAAGACACTTTTCTAAGCTTGGTTTTTTACATATTTTCTCTCGAATCTCGCCATTGTTACTCTTTTCATTGTAAATATCTTTCGGTATAATCTATTACTAACGTTTTCTTTAAAATGAGATCAAACAAGTTTTACTATATACTACGTAATTGAATGATAATTAAATATAATATAGATTTTACAATGGCAATAAACCTTTGTTGAAAATGATTGTATGCATTAGTCTAATATCAATGGAATTTTATAGATTCCCATAAATTTCTCGATGTATTAGTGATTTTATAAGGTCACCGATTCCATTAAGGCGAATTTGTACATACATTGCAGAATTTTCAACTTAGAAAGTCCTTATTTCTAACTTCCTTTTTTATATCGAAACTTTCTCATCACGTTAAAACTTGCTATCATAAAAATATATAAATGAAAGAAGTTTCTACTGCTACAAATTTTAAACTAATAATGAACTCATTACAGTTTAGTAAGCAAATCTAAGTTTCAGAAAAGAACAAACTTACCATCTTTATGAATTGCTTAAAAAAATCGATTCTGATTTACGTATAATTTCATATGGACTAAAGAGTTCGATCTAAAACTTACTGAGTATTTTTATGAAGGACTTTAGTCACTCGACCTAAATCTACACGATTTTAATCTTAAAATTTGAATAACTAACGATACGCTATCGCATTCAATACATGGTAGCCATTAATGAATAAATAAGCATGCTTTCAAAACGTAACATCTCTAGTAGTAAGGGGATACGGTGTGGAGGTGGAAAAATATTGAAATATGTACCTTTTTTAAATTATTCGAGTAGTTAATGAATTCGTATAGTAAAAATGTTAATATTCTTATTAGTAGATCAAGCGGGTGTAGCATATATATGTGTACAGAACGTAGGTAGGATTGAGGAAAGTTGGAATTTGTTATTTATATAAATCTTTATGACCCTACATTGTTTTACAAAAATTTGCTGAATTCTTGGTCCCCGCCTCCACACCGCCCCGAACCCCTATAAATATTTTATAATTGGTCGTCGTACTTCATTCGGGAACCTATTAAATGCAGTTATTGTAATTTCATTGATGGAAAGTTCATAAATTTTTGTCGTGCATTCATCGTATAATTGTCACTCTACAATTTCTTTTATACTTTTTAAAACAAAGTGTTCGTACATCAAATGCTATGACAGTTACATCTTGTTACATCACACGGTTTTGTGCATTCTATCACGTTGTATGTATGTATGTATATATATATATATATATATATATATATATATATATATATATATATATATATATATATATATTTAAAGGCTTTTCAATTGATAATAAGGTATTATAAAAAAATTATCGATAAATCATCAAAAATAATTGAATAACAAAACCATGTCGATATAGGCCACAAAGCACCGCATTGTATAAACTCTCATTTATAAAAGAATTCAATTAAAATAGCAAAATGGAGGGCCTTAGTTGCTTTGGAATCAAAGTACATGTGCGACTATGAATTATCGTTATTGTTTCCTGTAACGACGGAATTTTTGTCTGTGAATTGATTTTTTTTGTTTTTCTTTTATTTTTGTTGTTGTTTTTTTTGTTTTTTTTATTATCGAACCTTTTTTTCATGTATTTTTTCTTCAGCAAATCGGACCCATTGCGCCGATGAAATATGAAGAAAATCACCCTGTAGATTATACATATCGAGCGAAAAATTCACTATCTAAATTCTGTTACAATTTTGTCATTGAAATGTGGCAATACAAAAATAAGCTCTATGAATATACCTCCAAACACGTCACTTCATTCTCAATAGATTCTTAGCAAGGCGACAAAGCATTCGATAGAACATTATTTTGAGTGTTGGACACTTGTTATAACGAGATAAAGAGGAGAAAACGAGAAATGTCGTGTTTAGTTTTGAAGGGCTTGAGAAAAGTAGTTTGTCAGGACGTGACAGCGCAAAAAATCTTTCCTGACATAGGCCTTATAGCTATTGGAAAAGCTGTCACAGAGTTTTCCCAATATCCATAATCCAGTTATAAAGTACAACTATGCAGAGTTACTAGGCGGATATCAACAGGTACATTGAAATTTACGGACATTGTACTCGTTTGGAATATATATATATTGCAAAGTACTCATTCGTTATCAATGTCAATCACGCAAATATATTTTCGTTTAAGCTTGTATTCAATGATTCAACAACGTGGCTTTCAGAATTCCGTGTAAACGCATGGTATATCACCTATTTCTCAAAAATACGTAGTCTCTGTAATAAATTCTCTTATTATTCTGTTGTTGCTTTTTTACAGGTGAGCCTGGCAAGGAGGGTGCCGCGCCGTTGAGCGAGCAGGCAATAGGCGGGTAGGTATCGATAGCACCCGAGTCCGAAAATTCGTCAGGAATGGAGACGACAGTAGCTGGGACACACTTTTGAATTCGGTATCGCGATAAGGTAAGGTTACGGTAATAAAAATCCACAGGTCAAAGGTACGCCATCCTCCTCGGCAGGAACACTACTTAGTTTATGGACTTGTTTTGTTTTGTTCACGATTCACGTTCTTTAATTTGTAATGTTTTAGAATACTTATACTCAGAGAGTTGCGCGGCTGTTTGATGTTGCGGCGAAGGCGGGGACCGTCCGGCTCGCGTCCTGGGTGTTGGCATGCACAGAACACAGCACAAATCGCCAAACAGTTACAATCAGACAGAAGGGAAAAAGAGAAACTATTAGGAATGTTATAGGTCAGTTGGGCTTGCTATGTGGGATCGGCTTGGGATGTTATATAAAATAGCTTCAAAATTTGCAATCTATTAGATATATTAATATGTATGTATTTACGACACCGAAAATAATAATACGTATATTAAATTAGTAATCAGATAGTATTAGTAATAAACTACGTGATTGAAAGAAAAACAGCTTTAAGAAAGGAGATATTATAACGAGTCATTAACCACTACTGTTGTCAGCGCTAACATTGTTACTTATAAGGTACAAATAGACTACTACTAGTAACAAGCGACATACTTCTGCTTGTTTTTTTTTTTCATTTTCTAGAAAATCTCTTTGTTATATTCATCTTATATGGCTCTATAAACTAGTATTTACTTGTATGCTCATCAAAGTCTAAGCTTATTATTGACTCGCAGATATAGGCATAGATTAGTTAGACTAGTTGATTGACTATTGCAAATTCGTTAAGAATGCGCTTGCAAAGTGGGCATGCTTTCAATTTCAGTAATGCTCATTAGTAATAAGTATGAAAAGGAACAAAGAGTCAAGTTTCAAGACCAGCACGAGATATAAAGTAAAAGAAAACTAGATGGAAAGTCAGCTCGAAAAATCTCTAGACTATGGATTAATACTGTGTAAATCGATCAGATGAGAATTTGTACCTTAAAGCTACATAAACATGACATCTTTGGAGAGACGTACTTGTCATTATTTCTGGTAGATACGGAATTTCTTTATATGCAATCTAATCGTACTTGTACATTTTGCAAAGTTGAATCTCAAATCTCAGGTCTTTGGTAAGCTTTCCACAAGGTGGTGATATCGAATGAGAAAAGAGAGAGCGAAGTGAAGCAACAGTACCTTATGTCCGCCTCCGCCTCCGCCGCCAGCACCAGCAGCAGCAGCGCTAGCGCCGCCGCCGCCGCCGCCGCCGCCGCCGCCGCGACCAGGCGTGACGTACAGGCTCTCGGTTCGCTTGGGCTGCCCAGGACTCGGCAGTATCTCCTGGCCGAGACCCTTGTTCTTCAGCAGCACGTATTCGAACTGGCTGGACGTCGAAGCGGCGTAGGTCGGCGTCGCCGCCCCGCTGCCGACCACACTGCCGTTCAGCGGCGTACCCGACCTTAAGGCGCTTGGGCTTCTTATCGACCTGCTGCACAGTCACACCCACGTCACGCTCGCGCTCTTCCTTGCCACGTGGCGCTCGCTCGTCTTCCTTGAACTTACTTGTCTGGAATATCCGGTGTCGGTGACGAGGCCATTTTGTCGACGGACGGCTGCCTCGAGCCACTGATCAGCGGATGTCTTCGGTAGCGGTCGACCGAGCTGTCCCTGCTAGGAGGCCTCTTGTAGTGGTCCAGCCTGCAAACAAGGCCGGCGCTCGGTCAGTCGCTCGCTAGCCAGACACTGGAATCCGCGCGGATCCACCTGTCCGACCTGTCATTGAGAGTCTGCCCGATGCCGCTAGCAGGCTTGTCCTGTGGATTCAGCACTCGGCTGTTCCTACGTATGCTCGCCGCGTTAGCTTGCCTCTGACTCTCCTCCGACGAGTACTGCTGTTGCTGCATTTGATCGGGCCTCTGCGCGAATTGTGGCTGTTGCTGCGAGCTTGCACCGTACTGGCTCATCTGATTCATCATCGGCTGCTGATGGTATCCGTACTGGGTCGGCATAGGCGGCTAGAACAGAGTCGTGCGTCAGTCACCATCGTTGGCCAACTGTCCCCAAAGCTCTGTGCGCATGTGCGTGTGTGCGCGTGTGTGTTCAAGCAAAACTACGGCTATCGAGTACAAGTCGTCTGTAAGCGGCAGCTTTCTCTCCAAAAAGATCTACAAGCACTAGAAAAGAAAACAAGGGACCGCGAGGGAGTTGGATCCGATCCGGTAAGGCTCGAGCATTGATTAATCGATCGAGAAACTTTTAAACGGCGGGTCAGTCAACACTTGTTCAACACGGGGGCTTACACCAAATGGCTGGGCTCCATAAAGGCTCATTTGACTTAGCGACATTGGGCTGTACGAAGCCATCGCCTGCTGTTGTAACAACATCTAGAAAATGAGAGAAAAGCTTAGATAAACAGGTTCGGCGCTGAACTGGCCAGTCGCAACGTCCGCCTCGCCCCGCTTTTCGGCCTCGAGCGTCGACAAGACAAGCAAGGAAGGAAGGAAGGAAGGAAGGAAGGAAGGAAAGCGAGCATCGCGGAAGAGTTACCTGTTGATTCGCGTAACCGCTGGCCTGATATTGATTCTGGAATCCCTGCGCGTATCCGTATTGGTCCAGGTTCTGCGAGCTCGAGTAGGTGGCGTACTGGTAGGCCTGCTGCTGGTGGTGTTGGTGGTGGTGTTGTTGCTGTTGCTGCTGCTGCTGCTGCTGCTGCTGCTGCTGCTGATAGACCGGAGTAGGCGACGGCGAGGTGCTCGGGAACTGATTCTGAGGCAGGATGCCCGAGGGCGGCGTGTACGGCGAGCCCGGGCTGCTCGGCTGCGAGTAATTGGTCGCGCTCGGCGGCTGATTCTGCGGCAGCACCAGCACATTCTGCGGCAGCGGCTTCATGCTGGCCCGCCTCATGGCGGCCATCGTCTGGCCGACGCTCCCGCCGGGGTTCGACTCGCCCGCGTCCGTGCGGTCGGGCGTCATGCTGGGCTGCTGCTGCTGGGCGGGCTGCTGTTTCATCGGCGAGAGGTTCTGCTGGTCTACGCTCGAGCCCTTGTGCAGAATGCTCTTGGTCGGCGCCGCGTCCTGCGGCGGAGGAACGTATCTTGGAATTTCGCGGTTCTTCAGCCTGTCGACAGCCCCAGGGAGGTGAGCAGAGGAGCAGAGCGGTCGCGGGAGCGGGCAGGGCGAGCTTACCTCTCGAGTCCCGGTTGCCGGAAGTCGGGGGCGAACTGCTTGGCCGTCTGCTGGGCAACGTCCGAGTCCTCCCTAGCCTGGTCGGCGGCGATGTCGGCCAGCTCGGCCTTGCCCCTGGCCGTGGCCGTGCGCGAGATGGCGATGTCGGCCTTCTGCAGGGCGAACTTGCTGGCGCGCTGCGCCGCCGCCACGGCCGCGTCTATCCTCTCGCGGAACTTGGCCGAGCGTATGAGGAACAGGTGCTTCTTCTTCTGGCTGGTGATGAGCACGTTGTTCTTGTACTTGCCCTCCTCCTTGGTGTTGTCCCGGAAGGTGGTCACGCCGTAGCCGTACTTGCGGTTGTTGAACCACTCGCCCTCGTAACGCAGACCGTCGCTGCGCTCCGAGATCCCAAAGCCCGTCCGCTTGTCGTTCTTCCACTCGCCGAGGTAGGTTTCGGTTACGGAGGCGTCCATCTGCTCGTCCTGTGCACGGAAATTGGCGTTTGGCTATTTGGTCGCACTCCGAGGCTAGCGCTACGCGGGAGGTGGGGGGGGGGGGGGGGGCGGCTGACCTCGATAACAAAGGAGGCGTTGCTGTCGGTGTGCATCGAGGCGGAAGCCTGGCTCTGCGAGCTCTCGGTCGACATCCACGACGCGGTGCTCGCATTGCTCCGGATACTGCCTGCCGTGCCACGCTTTTCAAGGTCTCCCGTGCTCCGTTGCTTGCGGATCTTCAAGCCCTGTCGAAGAGCGACAGAGACTTGAGCGTTAGGCCGGGCCGTCTTCCACCGGGAACGAATGGCGCCGGGGTCACTCACAGCGAGTATGCCCTTCTTCAGGGACTTTTCGGTGAGCGACTTGCGCCTCGCGGGCGGCTCGTCGCTCCTCGCTTTGAGCACGAAGCCTCCTCTGCTGTCGTCGACGCGCCTGTCTCGCCTGTCGGTCGGCTCGGGCGTGGGCGCGGACGTTCCCTCGGCGCTCCGAAGGGACGTCTGCGACGCCCGCGTCTTGGACTTGTAGTGAGACGCCAGACCGAAAGGCGCACTCGCACGCACCCCGTAACCGTGTCGCATACCCCGCAGCCACTGACCCTGGTAAGTTCCTGCAACACATCGCGCTATCACGTTCCGCGCTTGACCACTCGATCTCGCCTGCGGCTTCTCAGTACTCGATGAATCGACGACAGCCGCTCTGCGGAACGAATAGTCGCGGATGCCGGCGTTCGATTTTGCGAAGGCGTTATTTTTGGACTTTCCTTATTCTTTCTCGGGTCTCGCCAAACCCATGTTACTAAGAGCAAACAAGATTGAGAATTTTTCTCGGCTTTTTCACGATCCGCCTCTCAGAATTGTCACCATTGACGATGACTTTTCTAGGCATGCGCTCTGCTCGCTGCCGCGTCCCTGAATCAGAAAACGCTCGATGACGACATTTATTTACGCGTCGATTGGCGATGAATCAGTGCGCTCATCGAGAGAGAGAGAGAGAGAGAGAGAGAGAGAGAGAGAGAGAGAGAGGGGGGGGGGGGAAATAAACGTGTCGTTAACGCATCGAGAAGGGTTTTCAGTTGCTTGAGCTGCGAGTTCATTGCGTTTCCTCGAGCCCCGGTGGAAAATAGATGTTGATATTTATAAAAATGACAGTCGACCGGAAGTAGTTCTCGTTAGATCGTCAATTTCAGGTTTTTTTTCGCCTCGACAGCTCGGTCGATGATGCCCTAGCAACATTCCAACGGGACCGAAGAGGATGAACGAAGCCAATCGCATACGCGAGGAAGCATTCCCCGAGTAACTTTCCGCTCATTTTCTTGCGCCTCGCGTTTTCCTCTCCCTCTCGCGCTCCAGCGAGCCACGCTTTCAGTCGCTTATTTTTAGTGACTCGTGCTGCTTGCCTACGACTGCCGCCGCCGCCGCTGCTTCCGTCGCACAATAAGTAATAAGGGCCCTTGTTCGAGAGAAGAGAAAGAGAAAAGCGGCATGTCGGCACGCGCGGATCGTCGAAGAGCGCAGCCGGCATTGAGGCCGCGCCACTCGTGCAAACCTTTCCCAGGCGCAAGAGACAATTTATGCATATACTTCCGTACTCTATTTTGCATTAAATCGCTGCAGCTGATTCGAATTTTTTCAACCGCGTACGGTCATCGATCGCCACTCCGCGGCTGTCGATTAGTCTTTCGCGTCGGCGAGCGCTACGGGGCAAGTTCATTAGTTCATTAGAGGCGGACCCTCAAGGAAGGGCTGATTAACAATTGATCGCCTTAATTGTGGCAAAGCGCGACATCGGGCGCTCCGATGAATTAGGTATCGGCCCGCTTCCCCGCCGACGATTCTTTCGATTCTTTCGATGCTGATGCGTAAATCGACAATCAATCATTTTCACGGCTGTTTTACTTTCGACTACGGATGACGTCGCGAGGCCGCAACAAAAATTAACGCAGAATCAAAGCGAGTGCCCATACGTTCTCGGCGGAATATCGCGAGTGCAATTGCATTGGAAAGCAATCGGGCGTTATCAATGGCACACGTACCGTTGGACCGCTGAAGAGCTCGCGCTAGGGGTGTATTCTTAAAAAAAAGTGACGAGGATGGGGAGCGCTCGCCAAGTGTCGAGGAGAGGCATAGAAGAGGCGGCAGCAGCGCAAGAGAAAGTAGGAACACGGGGCGACGCAGGTAGACGAGCACGAGGCTGGTCTGTCGGTGGGGCTGCCGCCTGAAAATAGCCCGTTGGCCCGCTGCTGCACGTGCGTGTGCTGCGCGCAACGTCCGCTTGAGTATTTCGGTACGGCGGGCCACACTCTCGAGCCTACGACGCGCTCGAGATCCGCGCACACCTGACTTCTTTTTCCTTTTTCCATTTGTTTGCGCGACGAAGAAGGCGCCCGCGCCTCGCCCGAGCTTGCGATCGTGCAGCTCTCGTCGGCGATCCTCAATTAGGCCAACGGGAGCGCGGATCGTCGGGCCGGTCTCTGGCTTCAAGTGGAACACGTGTCGGCGCATTATTCATCTTCGAGGAGCGATGGCGTTGCCAATAAATCAATCGGCTAGGAAATTTCGCGCCAAGCAGCTTGCGTGGCGGCGAGTCGTCGTCGTTTCTAGTGCGCGAGACATTCGTATGGGGCGCAGTAAAATTAATCGGCGCGACGCGCGTCCAATTGGAAAGGAAGAAGAGGCCCGGCGCGCGCGAAAATTCGAAAGCCGCGCGAGGTCTAAATAAAGCTCGCTCGGAGAAGCGGCGCCGGCCGCGGCACCAGCTAATGCAATAAAACTTATCTCGCGGGCTGCACTACATACGAAAATTGCTGCTCAGATAAGCCGCTCTCTCCGCGCGTCTGCCGACCCGCCTGCCGACCCGCCTGCCGAGGACATCGGCCGATTCGTACGTGTGTACGCCGATCTGGCTTGCACGCCCTTTATCGGCCCGCTCTTGAAATACCGCTGCTGTTTGCCGATCGAACGCCCGCGCGCTCGTTAATGCATTTATACGAATAAGCCCCGCCGGTTTATTATTATGCTATTCGATATTACGGCGACTGTGTAATCTTCACTCTTCGCGCTGGCAAATTTCTCAATGTAAAACTTTTATTAGCTCTTCAACAACTAAATCGTCTTAGGTCTTGTTAATCATGAGTCTCAAAGTACATTCCGATTTATTGCATGATTTTAACCTTGTGCAGAGCTTAAACTTGAACAGTTACTTTCTCGTGCTTCCTGCTCAGACATTTACTAATTGACGTTTCTTTGCTTTGTTAAAACTTTGTTAATAATGAGATTATTTTGAATGCAGCTTAATAGTGATGCACGAAGACTGGGTTAATGATTTCCGCGACAAGCAAGAGGAAAGATTCGAAGAATGGCGATTAAAATGTGCAAGAAGAATCGCAAAGAAATATGTTGTACATGTAGAAAATGGGGAGCAGGGTAAATCTGCTTTATCGGATACATGTGCGACCTTGTGCTCGAGGAAGCGAGGAATTCCGTAGGTAAACAATTAAGTTTGATGAGCAGCGAACGGAGAGTTCAAGAGCCGGGAAGAGAAGAAAGAATGCGGCAGGTTTGCTCGCCGATGCTGGCCGATACTCCCGGTATGGAAGAGCAGCAGTGGCAACTGTTAATTTATTTAGGCGCGAAGCGAGAGACCGCGGATTTATTTACTCAACGGATACAGCGGCATCTCTCGCGAAATATAAAGAACTGTCAAACAATCGCATCGAATATATCCGCCTGGAATGGGGGGTGGGAGGAGAGGAGAGGAAGAGAGAGAGAGAGAGAGAGAGAGAGAGAGAGAGAGAGAGAGAGAGAGAGAGAGCACACCGAAAGAATGTCGAGGCGGAAAAAGCGAAGGTTGGGCGGGGATTCGGTAAAACTCACCGCTGTCGGCGTAAGTCTCGGAGCCGTAGCCATCTTGAAGGCCACTCGACCATGTGCCTTCGTATTTGGCGGTCGAGGTGGTCGATTGCCTCACCCCGTAGCGGCCCTTGAAGCCCTGCGTCCACTCACCGCGGTACAGCCAGTGGCCGCGCGTCTCCATGCCGAGGCCGTGGCGCTTGCCGTTCTGCCATTGGCCCTCGTAACACGAGCCGCTGAAATCATCAACGCCGACGTACCCATCAACATTTCTCGGACGGGTGGTAAGCGGCACACCCAGCGCTTGGCCCCCTTCGAAATAGCCAGCTCGCGGCAAGCTCTTGTCGCTCTGCGCTCGTTGTCGCCTCGTCCGCGCCGCCGCCACAGCTTCGCGAGCTCCTCTTGCCCAAGCTGCTTCTCCGCGGAATTTACCGCTCGGCGAGCCTGGCAATAACGCGAATAAATATTCCGATGCTTTTACAGCGACCATCCCGCACGTTTCTTTCGTTTCCGCAGTGGCACATCTAATATAATTTGCGAGTCCGCATTTACAATTCACTTTCTCTCATTTTTCAACATTCGCTTGTCCACTGCACTCGATATGCAGACTCCATCTGTTTGGTAAATAAACACAGCCCGGAAATTCTCAGCTTATATCTTACCGTCGAACGGCCCGTTTTGTTTTTAGTTTGCCAAGCGAGCTTGCAAGCTCGGATGATTTGTTATTCAAAGTTTTCTCGTGAAACGTGCGATCGACAACAAACAACGTGAAAATAAAAATTACTCGAGCTCCATCTTGAAACGGGAAATTATTAGGCTGAGACTCGACGAAAGTTATCTCTGGTGTGTTTGGTGTACCCAAGTTTCAAGTCAGATGTTTTGAAAAAGGGATGTTCCGTCGATCCGTTTGGCCATTACGATAACAAGCGACTGGATATTTTTCAACGGTACGATCATAAACCGCATCGTCGAAACGTCGATAACAAATAGGAAATTTTTGTGAGTCGACGAACAAGCGCTCGCCCATCACAGTGCCCATCTGGCAAGATAGCGCTTTGCTGCGGTTTCGTTGCATCCATCAAATGCACACACACACGGGCGCGCGCGCGCATACGCAAACATAGAAAGAGTCAGAGAGCAGCAGCGAGACGCTCAGCCGGTGACCTTGCTCCAGTTACGCCTCGGAGAGACATCCCTCACGCTCTCTCTCTCTCTCTCTCTCTCTCTCTCTCTCTCTCTCTCTCTCTCTCTCTCTCTCTCTCTCTCACACACACTCTCTTAGTCGCACGAGGGGAAAAGCGCGCCGCCGACTCAAAAATGTAGGTTAGCTCAAAAATATATTGATCGACAGTCGGAAGAAGCCTTGGATTTGTCTATTCTGCTTACGGATTCTCATGGGGAAAATAATATATACTGATCTTCCGCTCGAAATTGATCGCCAAGCACGAGGATTTGATGGATACGCCATCTCTCGTAATCCATCGATTTATCCTATGAACATTTTTAAGGAAGCTTCCGTGGCAATACATCTTAAAATTTCGTTTGTGGCTTAAAAAAAAAACGTTTGTGTGCAAACTAACCTAACCATTACTCAGAGCCATTTATACTCGCGTGACAAGTAAAAAATTCACGAAAAGTATAATGTTTAAGAGGGTAAATAACTCTGTTTTTTTTAAGAAAGTTTTGTGATGTATCAAAGAATAATTAGCTCAGTTATGAGTTTACAAGTTCTTCTGGAATGGATCATTTTTCATCGAGCAACTAAAAATAACTTTATAATTCCATTAGAATGACTTACAGCTTGAGAAAAAATAAGTCTCGTAAGTAGTTTTCAAAGTTACCGAGTATGCATCATCTACTCCACTCGTCTTGGTACTATTAATTCAAAAACTTAATTTTCAAAATGAAAGGAAATGTACAATTACATTTGTTTGACGGTATTTTAACGCAATTACATCGGGATGAACGCATTAATTTTACTATGCAAAAGTTGTATTGAAACTGAAGATTCATGAAAAATTGAGTTGCTTTCTAAAAAAGAAATAGCGATGATACTTCTGATATTAATTAAATTTAAAAAGCAAACACTATTAGGTATGTGTAACGCATGGACTCGTAGGTGTTTTTTAACAAGCTCTAACAGCTATACTAACGTTCGCGAAGCTACTCAACAACGTAATTTCTAGTAGTTTCTTTCTCTATAGATACTCTGCGTTCACGCAATTCCTAACCTTGGCGGTCTTCGAACTATCAGACCGCAATACGCATAAGTAAAACACTTCTAAGTTTAATTGGAAATGCTCAACTCACCTGTCCACCATACTCGTGTTTATCCCTTAGCCCCATAGTCTAAAATTACGCGTTAAAAAAAGATAAATGCGTATTTTAACGAGATAACGTCGACACAACTTTCTCAAATAAAGGACACTTCCACCGGGAACGAATGGCTGTTGAGCTTTTGTACAGCGATGACACGAGAGATTCTCCAGCGTTGACTTGGATCGAAGTGCGCTGCTATATCAGCGCGGTCAATCTAGACGTTGTTCTTGATAAATTTTATTTATTGCGTGGGAATGACAATCGATCAGATAACTAGAGCCGTTTCTGGCAGCTCTGCGTATTCGAATCATCGTTATTTCGAATATTATCGTTTCGACATGTCAGGCAAAACTACGCGAGAATTTAATCTTAGTAATGAATACAATATTCTTTTCGTGTGTCAACTTGGAATTCACGTATTTGTATAAAACGAACATCAGTAATAGACTATATTTCACGACAGATTGCGTAAAAGAATAAAGCTTTTCAAACTCAATGTTTTGACAATGTAATGAAAGTTAAATTGCGCAGTCTTCAGAACTTCCTTCACAAAAATAACCAACTTTTGCTTTCGAAATTTTCAACTTTAAAACAATAAAAGAGCGAAGTCTTAAAAAAATATATAAATATCAGAAATCTTAATAGTCTATTTATCGATTTCTTGTCATCTTGCAAAATATTGCCTTTTTTAATATAGTCTTGAATATTTCGATAGATAACCTACTGAACTCGCAATTATACATTTATTAAGACATTATTTATTATCAGTGTCAGTTAATACTGAAGAGCCAAAAAGAAAATTATAAATTTAGTTTCGTCAAACGAAAGAACCGTGAAAAACGCTACGTGTATGCGCAATGGTTCCGAGAAAGAGCCGCGACGTCAAGTAAAAAGGTCCGAGTTTGGTGAGGCATCAGCACGGTTATGCGTCGTCGCACACGTCTCAGTGTCTCTCTTGGATGTCTCGTTAGCATGCAAGTCAGGGGCCCCGAATATCGAAAGCTCGAAAAAAAACGAGAAACAGGTAGTCATCGTCGCGTTCGGTCGCTCGAAAACGCAGCTATTACAAATGAAACAACGCCGCGTAATTAGCGTCCTATATGGATTTATCAGGTTGATCGGTCGGTCGGTTGCGCACAATGTTTGTCGGCAACGGCGACGACGAGGAATCCGTTGGAAGTCAATTGCGTTTTCGGCCGCTCGTTCGTGCGGGCGGCTATTTCGAAGCGCGCTATTTTTATGTCTTCCGAGGCGGCGGAGGCGGTAGAGAGCGAGAGAGAGAGAGCGGCTCAGCTACACAACTCGGTGAGGTAATCCGTAGCTTGCATCGACTCAATCATCGACCTGTCCTATCAATGATCTTTGCGCGCTTATCGAAGCACAAAAGCTGCTTAGCGCACTTTCCGGAAAGCTCGCTCGACCTTGGAATCCGTTTCCCCTTGGGCGCATCTCGAGTCCCCCCATGCCCGCGTGTACCTTCGCCACAACGCTCTGTCCTTGCACTCACTGACCCGCTTCCCCGATGCGATCTCGCATCAGTCGAAACGTGTCAAGGTCTTGCTCGCGCGGACATGGGGGTTCGTTTTCATTCAGCAAGGATTCGCGAGCCCGCCGCACGCCGCGCTCTCTCGCACTATTTTTAGATGCTACGTCGAAGGAATAAGCGCCGAGAATTTCGCGGCAGGCGCGTCTCGCGAACAAGAGCGCCTACGGAGCGGCTAATTAGTACCCCACAGTAGGATTTGAAACGCGCCGAATGAAATTCCGCGCGCGTTTTGCCGTCTATTCTTCGAAAGCTCCGAGGTTCGAGCTAACGAAACTTTTGGATCTGCGCAGCGCAGCGCAGCTTCGTTTTTCTTTACGTCTTGCGACGAAAAACTGTGATTGTGCAACCGATCTACACATCGCGATCAACGGCTTCGTCAACTTCAAGTCTTCGATGAACTTCCTGCAAACTTGGTTCAAACTTTACTTCGCGGTTCGTATACGAATTCCAATCGCAAGCTTCGGCTGCTGCTATATTTACACAATTCAATCCTTTGCTTAACTCAAACGAGTCAAGCTAAATTAGAAAAAAAATCCGTTGGAATGCAATATCTATATTCGGTCTGTATTACCTTTAACGAGCGGGTCAGCGGAAAAAGAAGTCAATACTCCAAATCGGTCGAATTTCGGTGTCGGTACATCGAGCAAAGGAAGCAGGACTCACCTAGGCCAGGTGTAGACGCCGGACACTTCGAATCCGTAATGCCAACTGCCGGAGTAGGCCCCTTGGCCCTTGGGTCCGGTGCAGACCCCGTGGCCGTGGGCCTTGCCGTCTTCCCAGCCGCCGCAATACGTGCCGCCGTCATCGAAGTCAAAGCGACCCCCGTTGACTTGAGGCCTGCCCATGCCCGGGCCCAGCTGCTGCTGATGGCCGGGACTCTGGGGCATCTGCGCCCCACCCGCCAAGCCATTCGGCTGCATCATGACGCTCGTTGTTGGGGCTTCAGCACCGGCGGCATCGCCTCGTCGGCGACTTTCAAGCTCTCGTCGTCGTCGTTGTCCTCGTCGTCGTCGTCGTCGTCGTCGTCATCGTCGTCGTCGTCGTCATCGTCGTCGTCGTCGTCGTCATTAACATCGTCGCCATCGTCGACGCTTTCGTCATCCGGCTGCACGGCCCGACAGCTGGACTGGCTCTATCTGCGCGTACACACACACACACACACAGACCAAGTAAATTGCCTTTATTCGTCATCGCTGATGTGTATCACGTTGGCTTTTACGTCGATCGCGTGGAAATTCTGTGGTGGAGGACTTGACGCGATCGCCGACTTGCCACGTGCTAATCCTACTCACGAGCTTCGCTGAGCTTTCGTTTGGCTGCTGGGTGAGCGGTTTAAGAAAATGAACAGACAGACCGTACGATCCATTAAATTTTCATGCGGTACCATTATTCCTCTAATGACATGCATCAGCAAGCGGGCATTTTGAAAGGGAAAGGGAAAAAGAAAGAGTATGTGTGTGTGTGTGTGAGAGAGAGATAGAGAGCTCTATAAATATAGGATCTATCATAAACGAGGGTCTCTGGCGCTCGTGAATATTTCAGTGGGCAGACGCGAGAGACGTACATGATATTGGACAGAGAGAGAGAGAGAGAGCGAGAGAGAGAGAGAGAGAGAGAGAGAGAGAGAGAGAGAGAGAGAGAGAGAGATGAGACAGGAGAGAGGGAGAGGAAGAAAGAAAAGAGAGGGAGAGAGAGGCTGGGAAGTTATGCAACTACCTCGAAGAATCTGGCAGATTTGACACTGGACGATCGCCGCGCCGATCAGCTGTTATTCGAGAAGAGAGGCTTACTCATATAAATATAGTTGCTCGCTCGCAACTCGATGGATTAATCGTGCATTGTTCTGCTCAGTGGATCCGAGAATTCATTCCGTCGTCGCCGCACCACTACGGTCACCTACTTTCCGAGGCAGATTGTTTTGATCGCCACTGGACACTGTCGAACGTCGCCGCCGCCGCCGTTGCTGGCCGAAGTTACACGGTGCGAAAAGCGAAAGTCAGAGAAAAAAGACGACGCATCGAGATTCCGTCCTCTCTCTAGTCTGCGGCTAGCTAGCAACTATTTTTACCATGGGGTAGCTTCGAGCGCGAATTGTTCTTGAGTACGAGCGAAGCGAGGCGAGATGAACGCCGCTCGCCTCGTGGCGCGGCGTTCGCCAACCGGGTTTAAACCATTTATAAATAGTAAGAGTCGCGACTTCAGCTACGGGCAGCAACATTAGTAGCAGCAGCAATCGGCGGCGGCGGCGGCGGCGGCGGCGGCGGCGGCGGCGGCGCCTCGTGGCCGTTCGAATCGATCGAACGGCATTCTGCCGAGCGAGGCCAGCGTCGTTCGCCTCTCCAGCTGCAACCACCAAGAAAAACTCCCGTCTGTTCCCGTCCACACCGTCGACCACGCAACAGAGTCGCGGAGCTTGCTGTCGTAGCGAGACCTGGTGACTCGTGCCGTGACGCTCCGTCGAGCTAACCTAATTAAGCTTGCAAGCTCGAGGCGCACGGGACGAGTCTATGATTGCGCGCCTGCAGCCCTAACCTCGTCACGAGCTCGCGAGCTCGGGCAGCCTCACCCAGCAGCAGTCGCTCGAGACGCATAGACGGGTACGCGGGTGGCGATACCCCGAAGCGTGGCTCCGGGAGACCACGATAAAAGGGAAAGCCATCCGTACCGTGATGGTGGTGGTGCTGCTGCTCTCCCCTTGGCTCTGGCATGTGGGAGAATCGAGTTCTCTAAATTTCTTCGTTGCGTGGCAATCGTCGTGGTCGTTCGTAGAGCAAAGAGTCGCCACCGCTGCCGGAGCTGCCACTTTAGACACCCCGAAATTCTTCACTTGCACGCACACACAAGTCGCACGCACTCGCAAAGCTGCTATCTCTTTCCCTCTCTCTCTCTCTCTCTCTCTCTCTTTCTATCTCTCTCTATCTCTCTCTTTCTCTCTCTCTCTCTTTCTCTCTCTTTCTCTCTCTTTCTCTCAATCTCTTTCTCTCTCTCTCGTTCTATATGCTTTTTTAGTTCGGGACGGCACGCGAGCTTTTGCGCCCGCTCGGTGGCATGATTGCGACTGCCGCGTCGCGACGATCAGCAGCAGCACCAGCACGCAGTCGACCAGCAGCCGTGGGCGCAAGCGCGAAACACTCGCGCAGCCCTGCACGCACCGTCACTGACGTTACCACAGGCGCCACGCGCGATCTACCGTGTTTACCCACTTCCCGATCCTCAGCGATTCATTTCGTACACCTGGCTTTTCAGTCACCTCGTATTTTTCCTTTTATTCGCCTTTTCTCTTCCGACCGTCAGAGCGTCCAATATCTCTTCGAACGCTTCTGTCGTTCGCGCTGATAGTTGAACAGTTATCATTAGAATACTGGCAAAACTGGGTTGTAATGCTCTGAATAACATTTCTAATTGTTATGAGACCAGAACTGCTCATGGTTTCTTAAAGAGATTATAAATGTGATTTACTTTGTATATATATAGTTTTGACACATTAGTAAACTGTTCACATCTGTGTGCTTCAATTTTATTCTAGTTCTCTGATTCATCAATATCGTTAAACTATTTCGATGGTATGTCATGGAGGTCTTTGTGCATTTCGAACAAGATCTACTTCTAAGTTTCCTCAATAAAATGTTTCCGTTAGTCAACATTGACTTGGAGAAACTCTCGAACTACATTGTCATTTTCATTCGTTGTGCTTCTATCCATTTTTCTTAATTTTATTTCAAAAT